GGTGCCCGTCATGAAGACCCAACTCAGCCACCTCTGCCTTCAGATACTGAACCAGCACAGGGCACTGCAGGCGTCACTCGTGCCACAAACACCCCCGGGGATGAGGTGCTCCTTGGGCTGAATCCTGCTAGTAGGAACGAACCTGATGACGAATCTCCATTGAAGGGTACCAGTAAGAATAATGGGTCAAACTCATTTCACTGCTGTGTGTGAAATGAGACATTATTTCTTCTGAATTCAGCTCCTCTCACTATCTTTCTTGCCTTGGGGAATAGAGCATTCTTGTTGTGGACTTGCATTGCAATCAATGATTTTATGATTTTGTTATAAGTGAACATCCCAGCAAGAGTTCCTGTTTGTTAGCAGTAGTTTTTTTTTCTGGATCTAACTTTTCATATACACCCCAGTTTTTCTCATGCTTATGCTTAATAGAAGATAATACTAGGAAAAGAGCAATTCCTCTTTTTTATTATTTATTTATTTGATAAATGAGCAGTAGTACATGAGTCACAGATTTAAAATCAATTTTTATGACAAATATTACCTGGACTTGAGTTTTCCATGGATGTCCTTAAGACTTTAAAACTTTAAAATTACTTCCTTCTCAATTTTCTTGAGCAAGTTCTACAGTTTGAAATTAAGAACTTCATTTCTGAATTTTATCCTAAATTATGCAAAATATAAATATTACATTTCTTTTACAGTATTTCATAATTTAAAATGGTATTCTCATGACATATCAGTGCTTTGGACATTTCGGAATCTTTTTGATTCTCCAGAAATCTGTTCCTAAAAAAAAAAAAAAAAATTGTGCTTTCCCCTTACTTCCAAAACATTCATTTCTCCAGGGTTACCTTAAAGCACCAGGCCTGAATTTTTTAAAGAGTGATAAAAACTAAGGATTGTGCAGATTAAGGCAGTTCCTTTCTCTGCTTCCCACTTTTAACATTATAAATATGGAAGGCATCTTATGAAGCTTCACAGTTTATTCTCATCAAACTTTTAAGCTTTCTTTGATTTGATGAGTCAATTGAGAATGTGAAAACCCAAAAAAGATTTCAATATCTATTCAAATATTTTCAGTTAAATTATTCTGAGTTTATTCCTGTGTAGTGATAGAAATTCTAATACTCATTCTGAATTAAAATGATTTTTTCCCTTCTGAATAGTAACTATTGGATATCTTGGAAGGTAACACTTTCAAAATTTCAATGATGTAATTGTGCATGAACATTAATCCATATTACTCAATTTATATCTTACAGTGATTGGAAATTCTGAAATTCCATTTAGTAAAGTTGTGCTGTTTCTTAGAATATTTATGACATCCTTCCTCTTTTGTATCAGCTGCAGTCCTTATAAAAGGGCACTGCATGAATGATGTGGAAAAGAAGTTCATAAAATAATTTCATTCCTTAATTTTCCATATGAATACATTTTAAATTCTTCTGTTGGGAGACTAGCATACATTCTTATAGTCATCTCATGGGAAAGGATGGATGCATGATTAAATAAGATAAAAAAGAGATTTTTTTATCATGATGATAGAGGCAGTCTTAAGTAGTTATGTCTAATTACTTTTTGCATGGTATTTCTATATTTCAATTCTTGCTGACATTTAAGACATTAATCAGAATCTTCCAGATTAACTGACAGACTATTAGTGAAGGAATGAAAAAAACAAATGTAAGGAGACAGATACAGAAGATCTAGTTTACTTGGTATTTTTTCTGACATTTTATACATAGGAAAGAAAATAATAATATATTGTTTGATAGATAGAGAAAAATAATGAGGGTGGGAACATATTTGTAAACATATTTGAAGTTAACTTAGCCATTCTCACAACAGTCACGGCATCGACTGATATTCCCAAAGGGGAAGATATGACCCAGGAACCACGGGCACCTAGTATCTCCGTAACAGTGCTTACCTCTCCCGATGGTACCCGTCATGAAGACCCAACTCAGCCACCTCTGCCTTCAGATACTGAACCAGCACAGGGCACTGCAGGCGTCACTCGTGCCACAAACACCCCTGGGGATGAGGTGCTTCTTGGGCTGAATCCTGCTAGTAGGAATGAACCTGATGACGAATCTCCATTGACGGGTACCAGTAGGAATAATGGGTCAAACTCATTTCACTGCTCTGTGTGAAATGGGACGTTATTTCTTCTGAATTCAATCCTCTCACTGTCCTTCTTGTCTTGGGGGACACAACATTCTTGTTGTGGACTTTCACTGCAAAGCCCTCCGGTGGGATCTGGACAGTTGTTAATACTCTAAACTTCTGCAGTGGGTGGAGGAGACTCCTTGCTGGTACATTTGGTGGTTTCTGGCCTTTGCTAAAGCCTGTGTCTGGGTGGCCTTCTAACTGTTCTGCAAGGCATGCTCCTTGGTGATTCTGAATTCTGGTCCCRAACCGCTTAGGCCTGTGCTCAGGCCTGGTATGCTTCCTAGTGCCATGATTGCTGCGGTGGAGGTGCTCTGGAGGGGTTGTCTCATGGCCTATGCCTGTGACTCGGCAGCAGCACCATCACTGAGTGAATAGTGAATGGTGTCCTGGTGGTGAGAGAAGAGCGATGAGACGAGAATAATGTCCCGTGAATTCCTTTTGCTTCCGTTCTTTTCCTTTAAATTTCCGTTTGGTTCCTCTCTCCTCCTTGCTGGAGGAAAGACATGCCAGATCATCATAGTTTGGGCTGTGATGTGCTGCTGCCTCATGAGTTACAGACTCTTCTTTTTTTGTTTGGTTGGGGTTTTTTTCTTGTTTGGGGTTTTTATTTCCTTCTGTGATTGCTTCTTCTGAAGGCCTTCCCTCTCCGTCTGTCACTGGTAAATGTGAATAGTAACCAACGCCCCTCAAACATGGCATGTGTGTGTTGGTTAAGAGTCTCAGAAGGCAGTGACAGTGCTAGAAGGGAAGGCTTTCATGTCTTCTTTCCTCCTGTGCTTTAAATCAGGCAGGAGGAGGTTCTGTCTGGCTTGTGGATTGGGAAAGGGGGAAATGCTGATGCAGGTGGTGGTTGTGTGAGGTTTGGGCGTAAAGCTGACTGAGCCACCATCACGGCAGTCACGGAGTCCACGGATGTTGTCAGCCAAGGAGAAGGAACGCAAGAGCCACAGGCACCTGGCACTCAACCTGGAAGGGAAGGTGATCAAGCCACTACTACGGATGATTCCCACCTCAATTTCATACCTGGAGTTTTTCCAGACACTCAGGATCGTCTTAACCGATTACACACTTCTGCTCCTACCAGTAAGAATGATGACTTACAGGCAGTCTTATATTGATAATTTAGGKTTTTTTTTGTACTGATGATACTCTGAATATGTTTATCATTTTTCCTTTTTTTAAGATTAGACTCATGTTATACATTGCTGTTTGGTTTTTATTCTTGACATTTCTAGATATGTATATGCATGTGATTCTTAGATGTGTTTTGAGGTAAGTTTTTCCATGTCAAGAGTGAACTTTGGTCAAAAGACTGAAAAGTGGTATTTTGTGAATAACCTCTCCATAGATTATGTTGTGTTTATGTTTCAATATTGTGTTTGTTACACTACCCAAAACTTAGGAAGTGGTCCTAAACTTTGTCTTCCAAGGCATGTTAGTACTTTATCTTTCTGTTTAATGGTCATAAATGCCAGCTGCGTAACACTTAATGTCACTTTTTCCCTATCTACATTTCTTATGTATCAGGTAAACATATATCACTGAAGGTACTTCTCTATATGGTCTTTTTTTCTAGGTATATTTGCTGCTGTTATCTTGCCAGTGGTTAACTAATTTTGCTGATCTGTAACTGACATTTGTGAACAACCTATTTTTGTGAAGAGTACTTTTATTTTTTTGATAATTTAATATAGTTAACAGTAATAATGCTTATTTATTGCACTGCATTATCTTGTTTCCTTGTGGTCACAGGTTAATAATATGGGAAATGAAGGGAATTCCCTTATTCCTAAATAGAAATTGTCCCGTTTGTACCAATTGTCTTCCCAACAGTATTTCAGTATTTCTTTTTCCGTATACAATTTTTGTGCACTTTCCTGGAATTTAGTGGAACTATGCCAGGGTAGATTTTTGTCAAGGCTCTGTGTTTTTTTTTTTTTTTTTATGTATCTGTGTATTTATAACATTACACAGCAAACACTTCAAAGATCATTCTTTCATTATTATTATTATTATTATTTAGGAATTACAGTTTGTATCCAGTGATCAGATTAGTTTTGACAGTTTTAAGTAAAAAGGGAGGTTTAGTGTTATAGTGAAGACATATTTCTATGTCTACTTTCTCTTTTCATTCTTATATTAACATAGCTCCACTAAATTTGGTGGATTCTCTTTTAATTAACACTAATGTTAGCTTATTCATCATAAGTTAGAATTTGGTCTACATTTTTCTTCAGAATTTTATATAAATCAATAAAATAAACCCAATCAAAATGCCTGAGTTGCACTCTTTTAATGTAGGTGCAGCAATATAAATGCATTTTGCTTTTGCATCAAATGCATAAATTGATACAATTTTATTGCAAAGCTCAATGTATTTTAAGAATTGTTTCTTCCTGCAACGAGCTTATTTACTGACCTTCATTCCCCTATTCACTTAATGAGTACAAGCAGTCTTTCTAATTTACTGTGCAGACATTACACACTATGATGAAAAAATGTTAGTTACCTTTTTCTTTTAAGCATAGAAAACCTGTAAGAATTTGTTAGAAGGTCATTTTCAAGGTGAATATCTGTGTAGGGTCTCTTCATAGTCAGTGCCCTGGCAAAGATTCATAACTCTTCAATTTTTTTCATTTATCTTCCATTGGGGCTTTTTAAAATCACAATACAAGGAAATGTCTAGGACCACACCATCATGATAGAAAGTATTTGTTTATTGAGGGATCTTTTGTGATGTGGATGTGTTGGAATGTAATGTGAGAGATGCACTAGTGTGTTGGCAGGCCTTCTCTGGACAGCCGAGTCGCTCGCTGCAGTACACGTCTGTGTTGCTCTTGCTTTTTCTGTAGAGCAGGGGTTAAGCTGTGGCCTGACAACACACTAATGACTGATCTTCTGTCCGAGTGTCTCAGTGGAATGATGAATGGATCCGCTGAAGAAACCCAAAATGTAACTGTGAAAAGGAGGAAAAATACAACAACATATCTTCAAAATGAAATTTAGAGAGTTTCTTAGGGCTCCTGGTTGCCTCCTGCGAGCGCATCCCCCAGCTAGGATCATGAAGGGACAAAAGTGCATCCTGTCCCAGCAAAAGGGAGGAGAGGGAGGAGATCTTAGAACAGACTGGAACTTGGAACAGGTTGCCAAGAGAGGCTGTGGAATCTGCAGAGATCTTTAAAACCTGCTTGGAAGCAATCYTGTGCCACCTGCTCTAYGTGAGCCTGTGTGTGTGCAGGGGGGTTGGACTAGATGATCTCTAAAGGTCCATTCCAACCTCAAAGATTCTACAATTCTATGAAATACCTTTTATATTAGCATGAGGATGGTTAATCAACATCTATGTAACAACCTAAGGGGATTTGCAGTTGGAGAAGCTCTGTCATTTCTCAAGGATGATGTAAAGCTCCTTAAGAATGCACTGATGTGTGGGATAGACAAATCAGTATTTTCCTCTCGGCCAGCTTTCTTAGAGGCCTCAGAGGCCAGCTCAGATCACTTAGTTGCTGAAATTAGTGGTGAGATAGCAGAAAACAACTCACCAGTCAATATATTTCTTGTTAATAAAAAATTGAAAACATCTGGAAGATTCATGAGCTACTTGTTGGCTAACTTTAGCAACAGGAAAAATGTGCTGCTTAATTCTGTATTTGCCAACGGCAGTTAGGAAATGAGATCAGAGGTACAGACTAGAGTTGCAGTGTCTGTTAAAGAACAAGAAAAGGAACATTACTTTTGAGTGAAGTAAGTACTTAATTTGCTCTRTGAGATTCTGGAAGGATTCAAAGAGATGGGGAACTGCAATATGATTTGTATAATGGCAATAAAGATAATCTTAGTAGTTTCTTTTGGGATCCAGAATAACTGCATGGGAGCAGAGCGGGCCAGAAATATTACAGAAATCACATTAAAGTTCAAGGGATATGGTCGTAATAGCAGAAAATTGAGACTTGAAGTGTGCATTTGGATTTAAGATTTTAGAACCAAATTGCACAACATATTAATAAAGGAAGAGGGATCCACATGCAATTTTAGAGAGAGTACATTTTTTGGTAAAAAGTCATATTTTCATTTTTTTCRAAGTCTGGTTCATATACATAGCTATCAAATTTAAAACCATCGAAAGAACTACACTTCTTTTTTCTTATGAGCACGTTGAAGTTTTAGAAATTCACTTTTATCCTGTGTAGGAATAGAAGTAAAATTTTAAAATTCTCTAGACAGATCTTTTCCACATTTTAGAAATGTTTTCTTCTCTGTCTCCTCCCTCTCTCCCCTGTTCTTTCTCTRTTCTCCACCTCCCTTGCAAAAGGCAAGACATTTGACCACATATATGAAGAAGTTCTTGGAAAAGAAAATCTGCCAAAATTCTGATATCCTTACAAGATTTCTAGGCAATTCTAATCACRTTTTGGTGATCTAATCACATTATATCTTTGTTAAAAATGAAAAATATGAGAGGAGAAAACCATTAACTTTGTTATTCAAAGTGGTAAAACTAACCGTCGTTCATAGGAGTATGACGAGTGTAGTATATGCAAAARTTTTCATGAAAATACTTGCTAATGACCTCAGATTGACCTTCCTATAATTTTTTTTTATTTAATAATATTTTATATTGTTTAAGTTATATCCTRTGTACCACACTGTTCAGTAGCCATTAGACATATTGGGCCTAATGGATATTTTTATTTTTTAGGACCTACATCCAGTATATATGAATCCACTCCTTTCCCTGGGCAGACCACAACAACAATAGCTTCATCCGAAAGATCAGCCAAGCTACCTGGTAAGTAAAATTTTTAATTCCTTTCTGAGCTTTTCATTTCTTTCCATGGTTTAAACATAGCGTAATGGTAATACGAATTGAAGCAAGAGATGAAAATGTAGGTCAAATGTAGATGTTCACTAGTAGTCTCAAGAATGGAACATATTGTAACTCATAAAACTTTTCACGTATGTGAAGACGAAAGAGAAGGCACTTATTTTGGAGAAAAGTATTAAGAATTAAATAACTTTGATAAATTGATCTGAAATCAATTAGATGAAATTCAGTATAGATATATGCRAAGTATTGTGTATGTGAGAATGTTCAGTTAAAACAATAGGTGAGACATCAGTATTATAGAACAAGATTTGCAATTTAAAATGGAATAGAAATTACCCAAACCCATGATACTATTGCAATAAATAAATTAAGGCAAAATTAAAAAAATAAAAAAATCAGGGATATATTAACAGTAATATCATCTGTAACATACAATTTGTAACATACGATGGGTAATCCACTTTTCTTAGGCCTGGCAAGWCTGGGGCTGTATTCATTTCAAAACTTTGCCTCTTGTTAATGAAATAGGAAAAGTATAAGAGGTCACAAAGCTAACTTTTGGATAGGTAACCTCTGAAGTCAAAATAGAAGAACTCATTTTTAGAGAAGAAAGGAGATGAGTATGCTACAAAAAGAATGCATGCCAGTTTTCCCCATGGAGTAATAGTGATTGATCATTAAAAGAAGTAATTATTTCAAATGAAAAAGCAAGTATAACTATTTTTCACCTATGCTGACCAAAGCACAGTGCTTGCAAGCAAGTGATGATCAGATATTGCATCTGCATTGGCCTACCTGCAGCCGAGTGTTTTTCTGAATGCATTTCATTCTTTCTTTTTTNTTTTTTTTTTTTTTTTTTTTTTTTTTTTTTAGGGTATTCAGGTATTAGGGTATTAGGGTATAATGTTAAAGTGTTTGCTGTGCATAGAAGTACTTTATAAAATGAGCAATCATTTTTTTTTTTTTTTTTTAGGGTATTCAGGTATTAGGGTATTAGGGTATAATGTTAAAGTGTTTGCTGTGCATAGAAGTACTTTATAAAATGAGCAATCATGCAAGTTAGGTGAAAAAAACAGTTTGAATGAACGCCAAAAAAGTAAAAGAGTTTGTGTGCTTGCAGTTGTGCAAAATGACAAAACCACATGAGATAACAGGTCACCTTCCCTTCCGTTAATCTCGTCCACAGAATGGTTGATTGTAGTTGCTGCTCTCGTGGCGCTGGCTTTGGTTCTTGCAGTCTGCATYGCAGTTAACAGCCGGAGAAGGTAAGCGAGTCCTTTAATTTTTGAGAACTCGTTGCTCTGTTATTTTCCTCCTTGAGAGGCTTCAAAGCATCCTGCGAGACTAGAGCAGTATAAATCAGGGAAGAGCTTCCACTGCAGAGGTCTGTAACTCGGGCTTGAGGCAGTATTTGTGTAAAGAAATGTTTGGGTCTTTATTTGTAGATGGAAACTGAAGGTGGACAGGTCAGAGATAATTAAGTATTCACTCTTAGCTATTAATAGTCAGGGCCTAGACAGTGAGAATGAAGAATATGTTATATGGGACGAGCTAAATATAATTCTGTACCACTAACCACCAGAGACMCCAGGGACAGAAGTACTGTGTGAGGATTAATTTATCCCTTTCAAGCTAAAGGACATGGACAAAGGACATGGCACAGGCAGCCATCACAGGGGTAGGAACTGTGTGGAGTGAGCTCAGCTGCAGGTAACCAGGAGGGTTGCTCACAGCAGTTACTTTAGTCCACTGGAGAGACTTAAGGAATGGGAAAGGGCAGTGTGCTGTGCGAGGTTAGCCAGCAATCTGCCGGAGAGGAGCCTGAAGGGAAGGTTCTGGGTGCACTTTCCCTTCTCCAGAGGCCGGTCTGATGTCACTTCTTGGCTGTCAGAAACAGCTTATGGCTGCTTGAATGTTAAACTTGAGCTCCTTCCCAAAGTACATTCTGTAGGGTTAATTTTGTTCAAGAAGCAGTGAGCAAATGAACTACTTGCCTGCAGGTAGCAGGAAAGCCCACGTGAACCCTCCTGTGAGAGAGGGTCAGGGTGCTCCAGGGCATGGGGTGCGCGCTGGACTCGATCGCTCGCGGCGGTGAGGGAGCACCCCGGTCTGCACCACAGAAAGTTCCTCCGAGGCAAGGATGTCCCCAGCTGAATGCAGCTTGTCAGCTGGAGTAACTGGCACAGTCTTRCTGAAGGAGGTAGTGAGATGCCACCAGGCACGTTGTCCCTGCAACTGTGTCCGCAACATCTACGCTCCTCTGACTGTGCTATTAGAGACATGCTAAAATAAGATATCAAGCACGTGGTGAGGCAGCATAAACTGCAGCTTTCTTGCTGTCAAGTGACTGTGAAAATGCACAGTGTGAATAGTATGGCCCATTGATCGATGTGCTGCTCTGTTATGTCTATAAAAGCAGAGACTGTTGTCGTTTCTTCCCTCTCGGCCCAGCATTGCCATGGAAACAGCCAAGCAGGGCTGGTGTGGCTGACTATAGATAGCGTCTGATGGGAAGTGAAGCCGTCTCGGAGTTATAAATTATATACTAGATATCATTAATGGAAAATCTGCTGCACTTGCATGCAGCTGGGAGACCAAAAGAGAGAAGGTGCATGTGGGTGGATGTATGYGTACAGATTGCCAGATTAGACCCTGATAATATGTACTGATCACTGCAAGGAGAATTTTTTGAAGGAGGGACATAATCTGTTTGACACAAATGGATTTCTACTTTTCACTTTAACACGATGTGATCATGGATAATGATCTGTGATAACATGATGTTATCCTGGATAAATCACAGGTTCTGTGTGTTCATCTATTCTGATCCATTAGTGCTAATACGCTGAAATTCATAGTGAGGTAGTTGCTGTGCAGTCAACATTATGCATATGAAAGTAACATGATGACAGTCCCGTAGCAGAATTTGCAGTTTAAGAAAGAGGATAGTTGAGCATTCCAGAGTTAGCTGAGCAGTAAATAGAGAATATTTTTAGCATTTGTTTATTTAAAAAGTGAATATTATCCATGTTTTGGCTTGCTGCTAACTGCAGCTTTTTCACTTTCCTTCCTGTTCTGGAAGCCCGAAGGAGTCAAGGCAGAGCAGGCTTTAGCTTCAAGCCACTTAATGCCATGTTTCAGAACGCTGTAGGTTTAGCCKTTCTCAGTATGAGGTCAGCACGTCATGGGAGATTTAAGGAATTCCAATTGAGTGATCAGCTCTGCTCAATAAATAGCAAATTACTTTGCTTTAGTTATTTCCTTTATTTTTTAAAATCGCTGTTGTTTTAAATTTTCCTGCGGAAATTAAAATGGCCCTAAGGCTCAGTGTGCTCTGATTTCTTTATTTGCTTGTTTGTTTACTTATCCCTCTTGTTGCAAATAAGATCACTCCTTAGTCTGATGCCAGGTCTCCTTCGAGAGACCAACATAAGGTGCAGCTCAGTGCGACCTGCACACCAGGAGAGACACCTGAGCCGCTTCCCAGAGAGGCAGYGCCCATTGACCGCCACGCGCTCTTCCCTCCTCTGGCATTTCCCAGGAAATGCTTCCCAGTGCTGTGTAATATAAGCATGGCAAACCGAGCTACTTTGGCTAAAATAGAACTGTCACATGTCAGTCTGTAAACACAGGAAAAAGTACTTCAGAAGGATAACAGTATAATTAAACTGCCAAATTAGTCTTTCAGACAAAGTCAGTACGACTTCAGAGACTGTGTTCCTCTGAAGAGAGCTGTGCTCTATGTATTCAGCTTACACCAGGCTATTTAAATATTCAGCTCAGTATAGCCAGAGAACTGTCTTAGCAGTGTGATGCACAGCTGACAGCTATGCAACTACCTCTTTTTTTTTTTAATTACTGTTATTTAAAGACTTATTTTGTGTTCTTACATAGGGTTTAAATATAGGGTTATTAGGTAGCACTGGAGTGCGTGCGACTCTAAAAGCACAGTAGCTATTCTCTACCTTAATGTCTCCTTAATGATCTAAGCTATTGATATTAGCAAGTTTAATCCTGCCTTTTTCCGTGGCTGTTGGCAGTGCAACATGTTCTGGGCCTGACAGGCTGTTGCAAAGAGGGAAGACATTCTCTTTTATAACTAGGTGAGAGCTTGGTCCCTTGACCTGAATTTCCAGACATGTGAAAAAGCTTTCAGAAGTCTGGTCCCGCATTTGATTTAGCATGCACTTGACCTTAGAGGGCCATATATACAAGGTACATAAATATGAAAATATTCAAATATTAGCAAATCGTTTCTTTCAGTAGTTCCATGTGAATCTCCATTTCTGGTGCTTACTTTCTTTTCGTTTCTTGCTAGATGCGGGCAGAAGAAAAAGCTAGTGATTAATAATGGCAAAGGGGCAGTGGAAGACAGGAAGACGGGTGGATTAAACGGCGAAGCCAGCAAATCGCAAGAAATGGTGCACCTGGTTCATAAAGAACAGTCAAATGAGCGAACAGGAGCATGTGATGAGTTCCTGACCCTTGATGAAACGCAAAATCATCAGGAGCTGGACATGAAGAGTGGAGTGTAATGGCTCCAAGATGCCAAGTAGGTCAGAGCTGGGGAAATCAAAATCGCCAAGGACTTGGACAGTTGTTCACAGATGCACTGGGCTACTGATGCCTTTTGAACATAATTAAACAGAAGTTTTCTTCATTTTTTTTTAATTATTTTTAAACCATGTCCAAGTTGCAAAGTTGACATTTGCTTTCTGAAATAAGCCCCCAAGAGTTGCATACATTTATCATTTCCAAATTCCTACGTGGAGGGCACTTACTGTGTCTTTGCTGTTAGGGGGGACACAAGTTTGTATCGTTGTTCCCCAGCTGTAGTATCTTCGCTGTGCGGAGCTGCAGGAGAATCCCGTCACTCCACCTTACAGGCACTTAAGGTACTAAACTTGCTATGGTACAAGAATAAGTGAGGAACAAATATCAAGAGCGACAATGAAGCTAAAACCAGAAAAACTTCCTCACAATCCCTAAAACTTCAGAACCCTTCAGAAATGCCTTCTAGACAGGAAGAGTGGTAGGTGCATTCAAAATAGGCAAAAAGTGATATTTTATAAGGATTTATGACTTGATCTGTAATGAGAGAAATCCAGAAGGATGATGTTTATTTATCTCTATTTTTAAATGTGGGCATACAGTAAGTCTCTTTGGGAGGGGGAATAAAGACATGAAAACATGAGTTGATACATAATAAACTTCCATACATTATTATCTTAATCTGTACAGTTATTCTTGAGTTTTTGAGGTGTTCGTTGCTGTTCCCTCTCCCTCCTTCATTGGTCATTGTTTGTGTATGTTTTTATTGAGATGGTTAGTTACTCTAAAGAATGAAATTGAATGACCCAAGGCTTAATCACACGTGTATAAATCAAACAATTGGAAATCATCAAATATGATGACAGTATTTTATTTCCTGAAGAATASGGCTCCATATTCCTTTGCTTCCAGACTTCCTTATGCTGAGCCTAGCAAGGCTTGTTTTCCTCATAACCCCAGTCTGCTGATATTTTAATACTCGGCTTTGTATGGTCTTGGTCACTTCTGAAGAATTCTGTTTTCCCCAGCTTATTTTTGTCATGCTTTTTAAAAATACCAAAAGAAATGCAGCTTACTTATTGGTACTAGAAGAGGAAATTCTATAAAAAAAAATCAAAGAAAATTAAAGGAAACTCTCCCAGCAATGTAATATAGTAAAAAAGCTGCAGTCGCATTGTCATGTGCTTTTTTTGTGTCTTTATATGTCTGTTTTGAAAAAGTATTTGTATTAAACTATGATGCTGTGCATTATTGATATGGATTATCAGAAAGAAGATTTTTTTGCTAGCAATAGTCTGTGCCATTTTTAAGAAAGCATTTGAAGTGGAGGGAGACTGGCAGCTTTTAATTAGTCTGCCTCAAAAAGAAAAGTAAGAAAAACAATTTAAGGTAGTTGCAAACAGTTAGGTCTCTGTTCGTTGTGGGATGGGGAATATTCTCTAGCTGGGTTATTGAGATATTCCTATTCACTGCTCATAGCATCTTCGTTTGAAATTGTTCTATTAAAGCCAGCTATTTTATGTTCTCCATTCAGGCTAATTGGGAGATGAGTACTCAGCTGGCAAAATGCTAACATTAGCCAGAACTGATCCTTTTTGGGCCATAAAGCACAAGACTGCTCTGATTATATTTCTCGGTTACAGCCCTTCAGCAGTTTTCCGTGTGTTTGTAAGTTGCTCTGTGCCCTGGTACCTCCGGGCAGATTTCCCTGGGGGAAATTTGTGCCTGTGCAACAGGACCCGAGACAAGCCGCAGTGCTGAGGGGCATAGGGAGTGCTTTATGGCTTGCTCTGTGCCAGTATGTGGCATTTATGAGCAGCTCCATCGCTCACCATCTGTGGTCCATGGTCAAACTTCTCAGCCCTAACATGTGTTTTAATACTGAGCTGTTCTGAGGGAAGTCTGTTGACTTTGCATGGAATGTTATTTCATTCTTRTAATAATTTTAAGCAAGTCAAAATGAACTGTTGAGTGCTGTGTTAAAATTGGCTTTATATACTCGTTTTGCTAAATATAGAGACTCAGAATAGGGATTTTTCCTTCCTTTCTTTAATTCCTAATTTAATTCTATCAAAAGGAGTTAAGTCCATGTCTTGAAGGATAAATCTTTCTAAAAGAAGATTGCAGCATGTTATTCATCTCCCTCTTCAGATGTTTAATGGAGAAAACTACCTTCCTAATTTATCTTATATGCTATATATATATATGTATGTATAAAAACAGGGGCAATATTCTTGGGCTTTATATTTTTAAATAGGGAAATACACAATTTCTCTTTCCAGAGGCAGTGCCCTTATTTTGTATATGCTGATTCCTTTTAGATTATATCATGTGATTTATCTGTAATCAAGTTTCATTATAGTTTCAAAACTACATGGCCATTTCATACATGTAAAATAGTAAGTATTTGTATTAAGCTCAGTTTTATTGCTTGATGGGTTGTTCYTTCTGTATGTGTATTTTTTTATAGAAAGCACTTGATATATTTGCATATTTATTTAAGAATTTAATCAGGATGAGAGAAAATATTATCTCTAAATTGTAACTAGAAATAATATTGCTAAAAGAAAAGGAAAAAAAAGTTGGATTGTAAAATGAGCTTCCAAAAATAAACTTGATTCCACATTGAGGATAAAAATCCAGGTTGGCATTACTAGAGGGTGAGAAAAGCTGTTCAGCAGGACAGCCCTTTCCCGGGCCGGTGGGCCGGAGATGAGATTCCCATCTGTGAGCTCCGTGCCAGGCGTAGCGGGACGTGGGTGACGCTCTCCTCACCGCCAGCTTCCCTGCTCCTGCCGGGGATGTTTCTGCACATCTTTTTGGGTGACTTTTGTGTCGTTTCTCCTTTCTGCACTGGACCAATTGGGCTGGGAGGCCCTCAGTAGGTTACTCCCCTGTGTCCTTCCGCCCAGACGGATGGTGCTGGACTGAGGCAGAGCTAATATGCGATCCTGGTTTGGTCTGGGCTTAGTTATTCTTGCTGTAGACAAAGGCAAAGCCAGGATGCTTAGAAAGCCAGCAGCTATTGGGCTTATTTCATGTTATATTTGACCTTTAGGACAAAGTATTCAATATTGCAGCCAGCCATTGTTCCGTAGCCTTATTAAACATTTCCAGGCTCCAAGTGCTCTAACTAAAAGGTTTGGTTCCTTAGAGACCCATGGACTACACCAGGTATTGACCAGTTTTCCTCGGGGCAAAGGCTGGAAGAGGGGGCTGCAGAGCGCTGCTCCCGGGGCCGTGCAGGCCGCGCAGGCCGGCGACAGCCGCGCGCAGAGGGTGGGAAACCTGTGGGATCCGAGTGCAGCCCCCGGGGGGGGGCGGGGGGGGGTGCTGCTCCCTGGGAAAGTCCCACCCGCATCCCCATGACAAGAGCAGCCAAACGCTGCACAGCTCTAAGGAAAGGAGAGGAAACGCGGCCTTTCCCGGTGAAGCCCCCACCTCCGGGTCACCTCCGTGCGCACCACCCGTTTACAAGCCGGCTTTAACCAACTTCCCCCGCTCCGGCAGGCGCCTCTCACTATTACTCCGCCCGCGGCATGACTATGAGAACAGAGCAGCAAAGGGCTGCTTTGGCACGGATGACTAACGGTGGCTTTGGCGCAGCACACGGGCTGTACTTTCCACCTCCCCAGCGCCRGGCGAGCCAAATGCCTTGACACCAACAGGGTTTCGAGCGCGCTCCTGGTCTTGCTCATCTTCCTGTTTTTGAGGTGCCGGGCTTGGCTGGCTGTGCGGCATCACAGCTTGGCGAAAAACTGAAATTAAGGTGGCGGAACCACGASGGACAAACTCCTGCTCTCAAGAGAGCTGATTATTCTGAAGGTGCAAGTAAAGCAGGGGGAGAGAAAGCCTCTGTATGCTGCCAGCTCAGCCTGCTTTCCACTTCGTCTGGATAGTTCTGACAAATAGAGAGTTTTTTCTGCCTAAAGTAAGTGTTCTCCAGCTGTCTATTTTAAAACCTCTTTCTCTACAGGCAAGGGCTGCTAAGATGAATGGGTGAAACCCATTTTAATTAATTCTCTGCCACGGAAATCTGCACACTGAATGCGATGTGAGGGCCACCACGTCTGTGTTGTCTTTCAGGGAAAAAAAGTGTGCAAATGGTGAAGATTCAGATCAAAGCAAATGCTCAAAGGCTGTCAAATGAGAAGATGAACAATTTTTATTTCCAGAAAAAAAGGCACAGTTTAAATTAGTTTTAATATCTCAGGCAGGAAATGTAATTGTGCAGAATTATATTTTTTGGAAGATACATCATGCCTAACACATAATTCAGCTTTCCCTTCAGACTAAAATGAAATACTTAGAAGCAATAGAGGTATTTCCAGGGGCGGCAGCTTTTGTCCTTGGTGCCTTGGAGCCTTCCTTTGGGCMACTGCGTTAGGTGGGGTGCCCGTCACTAGTTGGGTGCCAGCTGCATTAYGTGGGGTGCCACCCTGCTCTGCCATCCCTCCATGCTCTGCTTGCAGGCAGAGTTTGAGCCTTAGAGCTAAATCTACCCGCAGTCATTGGGGTATAGCTCGCTTCTGGCACCACTATTTTCTTTTCCTGGCTTAATTTAAAGAAAAGCTTACATCATTTTCAATGACCACATTTTCCTTGCACAAAGTAAGACTCAAAAGACACAGGAATAAGTTGAATATATTTTGCCTTATGATCTGAATTTGAGTTTACCACTTCTTGTCTGCCTTTTCTTTTTAGTGATAAGTATCTTGTTGAGGCCTGATGACAACAACAATGATTTTTACGAGGATCCTTTCTGCAGCCACACCAGTGAGAGATTTCACCCCATAGCTGAGGCCCAGCGATTCCCTGGGCAAAAATGTGACTCCTCAGGAGTTTGGCACAGGAGAGAAAGTACTTTCTGCTTTGGACAGACCTCTGAGTAATAGAAGGGTCACAGCAAAGCTCTAGAGCAGCATGTTGGGCTATTTCTACTTTTCTGAGCTACAGAGAATTTTGGGCTTCATTCACAGAGTGGCAACCTGTGCCTCCATGCATCCTGTTTGTACGTATTGAAGGGTGGAAATACACTGAGTTGGTTTTATTTTAAAAGCATTATAAGGTCATCATTTTACAATATCTGTGGGTCATAGGATTCACTAGCAGAAACAAAATTACAGTTATCAGGAGCTATCCTGTGGCTCATTTTTTAGTTAATGGCCTTTCATGCATCCAAAGAAAGCTTGAGAGTGCTGCCAGCAGCACCAGCACTTCGTGCCAGCGCTCACAGCAGATGGACCTGGCCCGACAGATGTTTTTAGTGGTGTTTTCCTCCTGACGAATGCACGTTGGGGGCCACCTGCTGCTTTCMTGTCCTGGCCCTGTTGACACGCGCAGTTTGATGCAAAGGCGAGGGGTGACTCCAGGGTTTACACGGTCCGAAACACACTCTGCTTTCCTCTCATATAGGAATACAGCCCAGCACGTATCAGAGCCATGGCTGGCTGTCTGCCCTGTCACTGCGTCTCCTCATGGTGATGGGCACTGTCCAGCTGTAAGGACAGTACAGAAATGATTGTTTTTTCCTTAAGAAGAGAACTAGAAGAACAGGTTTCATCAGGCTTGCAGAAGCCACCTGTGGGATGGGCCAGCTGACAAAGCTATTGCAACTGTTCCATTTTATCCTCCTACACTTCTAACATTTCTTCCTACCTCCCTACTACTAGTATTTCAGGCCACATGTGAAATGGAGCATCACAGGTAGCCCTAGACCTCAGTGCCAAGAACTTGGGTTTTGTCTCTTGGGCTTCATGACAGTAAACTCAGGAGTAGCCAGCGCCTGCGATATTTGCTGTATTCAGACTACGTCCCTGAGGGGTGAGATTTTGATTGCTTCTTAGTTAACTCAATGCCATCTCTCACAGTTCCTGCAGCTTTTCAGGGCAGGGAGCCTCTCAGGTCACCGTTTTATCCAAACTCCCATCTGGAACTTTTCAGTGTCAAGCCCCAGTTTGCAGTAATACTCACACACGTAATCCATGAAAATTATGAACCAACATTTATTGATGATATGTACATAAGAGGTACAACATTTAGTGAAATGTTATATTCACGATTATTTCCAGTCTAGAAAGAACGTCCTTTTTTTGTTTTAATACATGGAAGTTACAGAAATCAGTTCACACTGTAAGAAAGCGTTAGGAGGGAATGGAAGTTGGAGGAGGAAGGGTCTGGACTACAAAACCAGGCTTGGTCTACGAGGCTTTCCAGATAGAAGATGCCACAACTGAGCCTGGAGCGGGGAGAGAAATGTTACCACCTGCATTCATTAGTGGTCCAACAAGCTGTGCTACAGCTACAGTGCACACGCTGTTTCAAAATCYGGGGCTCTTTCTGAATGGAAGGAGAAGACGAACCCCCATCCTGCTTGGTTTGGATTCTTTTCCCTGTGAAATAGCTCAGCAGAGTCCAGCTGGTGCCTGGCCACCCTTGGGAGACGGCGCTGAGGCCGGGTAGTGCAGGGCACTGCGGTGTGCACCCAAGGCAAGGCAACGCCGTCCCCGGGCGCAGCATGGTGCCCACGTCCTCCAGCGCTCCCCACTCAGAGCGAGGTGTTKGAGCTGGGATGGGAGCCAGGCCCCTGGGACCCAGCCGTGACTCAGCGCCTGCCCTTCGTCTCACCCAACGTCTCCAGCAGCCATCACACTTGGTAGCGCCAGCTTGCACCTCCCAGAAGCTGCTCTCCATGTTTTCCCACAGCTCGGAATTACAGCCTGGGTTTCACCACGCCTTATTTTGCTGCTGAGTACAGAGGTCCTAGGTGTGTGCTGGGAACAGCAGTTTGGACATCGCAGACGTCGTGGACATCAGACACTGTAGCTCAAGAGGTGTTTAGCCTGGCATGATTTAACTTCCGTTAGCTTCTCATAACTACTAATATGCTGCCTTTTTTTTTTTTTTTTTTTTTTTTTTTTTTTTTTTTTTTTTTTTTTTTTTTTTTTTAATTTTTTTTTTTTTAAGTATTGAAGTAGCAGGGGAACTTTTGCCTGTGAGTCTATTAGTTATGTTTTTCCGAGCCCCTTGCTACAGCAAAACCACAGCAGCTTGGATGCACTCCTTGAAGGAGGTTGGAGACAGCGAGGCCCTGGAAGGGATTCAGGGGGCTCCTACAGCACGGCTGGGGACTGCTGGGCCACTTCACAGTGCACAGAGGCAAAAGGAAACAGGGGGTCCAAAGGGAGAGCGCAGCTACAGCGGTTTTTGTTGTTTTTTCTCTCGACGCTTGTGCTAATTTGAACTCGCTACAGTTACGGTGACAGCGTTCCAATGAGTCAGGCAAACAAGAAGAAAACAAACCATAAACTATGTTCTGTGTCTATTAATGCTTAATGCAATCATTAAGTGCATTCGCAAGGCAGCAGATCTATACTGGGGCTGCTGCCTCTCACTGCCAAGGAATCAAACACATGCAGCTCCTAACACACACCATGCTGGTTAGGTAGTTGTAAACTAAAAATAACCTATTTACAGTAAGTTGGCTGGATATATGAGTCTGAATGTTATCAGAACAAGATACTCCATAATAGACAGAGAAAGCACCTACTAAGCTACAGAGCTTATTCAGTTAAATGGCCAAAAGGAAAATAAACCCCAATAAAAGCAAAAATTCCCCATACTAGAACAAAATTTTAAGAGACAGTCTGATTTTCTACTATAGTTCAATGCACAGCAATTAATTAAATTAAAGCATCTCTATCCATACTGTATACACCATTTCACTGAAATTACACATTGATAGCTACATTATCTACACTAAGTGCAGAGAGGCACTGGACATCATGCTTCAACAAAATGTCAAACCCGGGACAGGAAGGATCTACTGCTATTAGTAACGCCCGTAGCACTATTCTACCCGCAGTTCCAAGTAAGGTAATACCTGGTACGTCTCATTTAAAATACAAGAAAGATTAAAATGCAAGGGTACATCAACACACTTTTCTATATGTATATCGATCAGCTATTTAGACTCCAAAACCTAAGGCGACTATAACAGTCCTATAGAATTCTGAATTGGTGAAGAGATGCCCAGTGTCAGTCACACTGGGATAGCAATATTTGCCATTCATTGTTTTCTTTGTTTTGCTTCTTTGAATCACAATCATGGATCTAGTTGCCTATAACAGGATTTTTTTTTTTTTCTCTAACTGTTGGCTATGTTAAATTGTATTTAATTAACATGGAACTTTTTTGAAGGAATAAAAATATGGATAGCAATGGCCTTAATGGCAAGAGGTATTTGCCTAGTGGGAACCTACAATCATAAAAGAGAAGCAATGCTCACTTCTCTGGTCAAAAAATAGAGTGTTTGTTTGTGTTCTTTAAAATACAGAAGAAAGGAGGAGGTATTTGTTGCTACCCAGATGCTACCCAGTTCAATTGGTCCCAYGGTTGTTCTGTTGGTCCCTTTTCAAGGAGGCGCAAGAGAGGCCAAGCTGTGAAGTCTTTCTGCAGGCTGAACTCATGCACCTTTTATCCTAGCAACATGGGCTTAGTACCTGCTATGTACCTGGTTTTTTGCCTACCCAACTCTCCAGCTTGCTTTATTCAGCATTCCGAGTTAGTCAATCACACATGAGCAGATCCTAAGAAAGAGCCGCAGAACTTGGCACAGGTAACACCAGGAAAAATGAGGGACAATTGCCCAAGACGGTCAATCTAGAAGATTGTTCAGATTATAATAACATTGTTCCATAATGAACTGCAGCATTTAAGGACATCTTGAAATTCCTATTTGCTTCCTGCATTTTGTGCTTTGTTTATAATTCATCACTAAACATAAACATGTTCTTATTTCATTGAACATAACACAGAAACATTTAATTGATTTTAAATGTTGTAAGAAAACTGCTTTTGTTCTAAGGTATAGATCCCCTTGGGAGGATTATTTCCCTATCTTATATGGTCATATAGAAAATATTATAAGAAAATATTTGTGTGTCTGTAAATTACAGATACTAGGTAATTTAGCTCAGTCTACACTGTAGTTTCCAGAGAATAAGTAAAAACCTGTATTAATAACTAAATTGCTGTTGAGTATATCTTATTTAACAATATAAATACATATGCAACATTTTCTCATGCATTCTACAAACTATACTTCACACCAGATCATAGGAAGTGGGATCTATTTAATAAAGGAGCAGGACATATTGGGGGAAAGTGTGTGCAATCATCTTTAAGAAGGCAGGACAACCTGTACTACACCAGAAGTCACAAGCACGCACAAAACAGCAAAATGGAAACGTTACAATCTACGATTTTGACTGCAAAATCAATTTGTAAACACMATCTGCATACAGCCTTTGAAAAAACTGTAGAAAAAAATAGAAAAGAACGATACAAAAATCCCTGCAAACTATTCTATTTATGTACAAAGCAATATACAGACACCAGACAATCCAGGTTGCGTGATGCTGCCTACAACAGTCTCCCTTGGCGCTGTGGCGCTTGCCACAGAGCATCATTAAAAACACTTGCAAAATTTTTGAATTTGGGAAACCAGACTAGAATGACTGGCTATTCCAGCACCAATCAGTAATGGGGCTGCTGCAGAAGGTAGGTGAAAATGAAAAGGGAAGTGTACAGCAAAAAGTTGGGTGACATGAGGAATCTCTCAAGTCTTCCTGCTCCCTAAGTCCTTCCTTAGCTCGTGGGTTAGCATCTACTCAGCCTAAGAGACCTACTTTAATTGGTGGCTCAGCAAAATGCTCCTTTTTTCCCCTTCTTTTTAAATATTTGGAGCCTCGGTTTTCCATAGGACTCATAGATTCGAATGCGCAACCACTGTACATGCTTGAGCTTGTATGACCTGGGAGTCCCCAGGTCTCCACAGAGGGGGAAGSTGTCTGCGGGACGGAGGGGAAACCTGAGGGATGGGGTCTCCGGCGCCTTTTCCCAGTGAGCCCATTCACACAAGAAGCAAAGGAATTCACAGCACCCGGCCTTTAGCAGCGATTTGGCTCATTCATAGCAGCAGATTTCAACTGAATATCCAATATGATCAGGAGGAGAAACGGAGGAGGGACCCACTGCGCAGTCCGACCCAGGCACATTGCTAGGGACGTGCCTAGCATGAGGTCCTGCCTTAGGTGGGCAGAACCAGAGCATCGCTTGTGCTTTGAGGATTACAGAGGGACACAGCTTGGTGTCCACTGGGGAAGCTGAATTGTCTTCTCCGACACTTGAGAATTGCAATTACTTTCTTTTTCTTTTTTTTTTTCCCAATACTTGAAGTTATTTTCTCTGTATAATGACTCAGACAATAATAATTGGACAAACATTTTTTCCCTCAGAGTGATCAATATGACTGGAGAAAAGAAAATTGTTACTCCTAAATAAAGTATTTTCTGCTGGGAGCAGGAGCTTCCACATGACCTCATGTGCTGAAGCAAATAGAGTTTTATGAGTGGCAAACAGCTCCAGGGCGATGCCTATTGTAACAGCTAACATGAAAAATACCCTAGTCATGGCCTTAGAAGTCACAGTAATAAAAATCAAGGATAATCTTCTGGCTCGTAACAGAATAAAATTACAGTACATTTTTATAAAGTGCCCTTATTTACTCTCTGTAAATTAATTCAAATGCAGTACTAGAAATGGGAAAACAGAACTTAATGACATGATAAACAGTTATACCTTTAAGTGTCTACAAAAAGGATTTCTGAGCTTGGTACTAAAGCTCAGAGCCTTTTTAAAGGCATTTGCAGAACTGGAGGTCAGAGGCAAGGTTTAATACTGTTTGTGTTTTCAGGGAATTATGTGATTGCTGCTGTGTTGCTACAACAGGACCGTAACAACACAAGCAAAATGGAGAGAGCAAAGAAAATCGAGGCAGTTGCCAGAAGGAATTTGTTCAAACCCTGTTGCTGCAGCCTCTCAGATGAGCAGTCTGCTCTTCTGGATATCTACTACAAGAAAAGTGATGGCTCCAGGAGTGATGGAAAACAAATGCGAAATCTGTACTACTGATGCGCTTAAAAGTGACATAAAGCTCTGAATTCCCYGTGCTTTGAGAAAAAAAAAAATGGAGATTAGCTAGATCTCAGGGAAGAACAGATCAAAACTGTAGCAAGAGTGATCACAGCTTCTATGCGGAGTTTTAAGCTCCTTGCTGGACTTGTGGCACAGACGTGGTTTCCTTTTGCAGCATCTTGACAAAAACATTTTGGGTGTGAGAATCACTTTCATCTTAAATACCAGATGGTGACTCTTCCCTAGGACTGCATTGTGAAACGTCTTATTACTTAAGGGAGACAGGAAGAGACTCGGCTTTCTGGGAAGCCCAAGACTCCCACGGCTTTCAGTGGGAGTTCAGGTGGCCAGGAYGGTGCGGGAACAGGTTTCACTACTGCAAAAAAGTAGTTTTTTGAGAAAATAGATTCTTGCTGGTTCAAATGGAAGGAGCATGTACGAAAACATAGCCCCCAGTTATTTGAAGCATTTCCCTGTGCAAGTCCCACGCTTGGCTCCTAAGAGTGCTGGTGCCTTCCTCTAAAGGAAGTCATGAAGAAAATTGAGTTACAAAGTGCTCCTTCTCTTCTTTACTTTTAATGTACAGTGCTCCTTAGCTCTAATTAATAGATAGTAAGAGAATGCTGACCCAGCTTCAGCAAAAAATGCATAAAGTAACTGCCTGTGTATGTGCTTCAAGCATTCTTAATTAAGCATTAACTGCGTCTTTACCAGGGTTAGATTTTCTGTGTGCTAGTGATGCAGCAATCAGAAGGGCAAAGGATATTGCAGTTGCAAAGACCAAGGGAGGAGCAGACAGCTCCACAAACAGATGAAAGCAGAAAGAAATACTAGTTCCTTCTGAAGCGCAGATATCACTTTCCACAGGGTTTTAATTTTGCTACCCAGGTACTGGAAACAAATACAGAACCTTTGCCAGAAGCAAATTAATATATTAATTAACACTCCTGGTGAAATAAAAAGAGAATCATCAGTAACCAGCATCATCTACTTAAACATGAACTGTGCATTAGCTTGAGTGGCCAGCTCCTGGGTTATTCTGTGTTTATTCAGTTAAGTAGCAACCCAGTCTCATGTGGAATGAGCAAATCAAGAAATGCAAGCCAAGAATGAGTTACACTTTCCCAGAGAAACGGAAAGCTTTTTGATGGTTAAATACAGTGCTCTGTCAGAGTAACACTATATTAAGAATTCAGACAGGGTAAAAGCAGAGGAGTTTACCAAAAACAACATTTCTCCTTCACCCACATCCACACTTAAGTAGAGAAATGCCATTGCAATTAYCTTTTCAAACTTCCCTGAGTTACTGTATCTAAAGAATTGCTATTTTAAATCACAGTCTGCTATTCTTGTCCTATCGAAAGGCCCAAATTACCCTCTCTCGTGTGGGTGGAGTTTCTGCAGCATCCCATTCCTTCCTCCCTAGCCTCCGTCTGAAGGATCACTCTTCAAAGGACGGCATGTCCCACGTGGATAAGCGTGAGCGTATCCCGAGCCTTTCCCAGTATGTAATGATGTGGCATTGCCTAGTCACACGTTGCTGGCAGCCCTATTTGCTTCCAGCTATTAACAGCTTCAAAAGGCAACTAGGCTTATACARACCAGTTGTCTAAAGCTACTTTCAAGACAAGCAATTGATGTAGCTGCTTCTAAGAAACTGCCAGGATGAACAGCCTGGGCAGTCCTGTATTAATTGATGGGCTGGGCTATGACATGATTTGAGAAGCCAGGCCATACTCCGCATGTTACTCTTGGCTACGTCTGCTCCTCAAGCGGCAGTAAATTTTTCTTGCTGTGATCCAGCAGGCTGCGAAGGGAGAGCGCAGTGTACATTGTAGGTACATCGCAGCACTCCTACGTGCCCCAGAGGCACGGTGCTGGCACATCACCCAGAAGAGGAAATTTCTTCAAATGCAGACCAGGTCCCAGAGCCTGGGATGCGCTTAACACCYACGCTTTCAATGCAGTATCTAAAGTGCAAAAATCTGTGACTTCTGTTTTTCTTATTACAAACGCACTTTAAGAAGAAAATAGGTGGGTTGGTTCCCCTGTGTTTTGGAAGAAGGTTGGACTCTGGATATTCTAATAAAAATGACTGAAGAAAATACTGCCTATCACTTTTACAAATACCTTATAGTTCCAGACTTCATAAAAACAGTCTTCAAGGTGAGATTTTTACCTGTGGGAAAGGTCTCTGTCTCTAATACATGTGAGAGACCTATAGAATTCACAGTGGTTGAATATTTACTAAATTATGCAGGCTATTTTTTTTTTAGGCTGGTAGCAATGGCATGTGAGAATAAAAAGAGGAAGGCAAGAAAAATATTCCATGCCAACAAATGCTTGAATGAGGAATACCCTGGCAAGGGACTCAAGCTCAACATCATTAATTCATGYAAGTAACCTTCGTTGGCTCAAGCCCACATGCATTTCTGGAGATCTTCACATGAATGCAGATGAGCAAGAGCAAGTTATATTTACATTTCACTAGCTTTTACAGAGCCAAGCAACCACTCTACAGTTAAACACATTATTCCTGTTTACACCCATGACAGATCTCAGCACTGACACTGGCCAGCCTATGTCCAAAAATATTTCAACTCTGTTTTCTGCCATTTTCAGCTTCATCATCTTCTCCTATTCTAGTCCATTCTGGGAACCTCTAAATGCTCCCTGAATGTTGCCCAGCGCTGCTCTGCTGGGTAGAGCTTCCCAAGGCCGCTCGGCTCAGCTTTGCTGCAGAGCATTGCTAATACTGTGACAGCGGTCACCAGTGTCCTAGAATTGCCAAGTTTTAACAAGCATCCTTAAAAACATTTAACAGGATAATTATTGTGACTCTAATCTCTTCTGACAGGATGAGTCAGCTACACCATGTTGACAAAACAGCATCTTGTTAATGCAGATGCCATGCGCCCTAGGAATCTTTTCTCTGGCATTAGAGATTTGTATGAATTGTTACTCTGCAAGAGATAGAGAGAGAGATGTATGCTTAATGTATTGGTCTAAATCCTGAAATTCTACTTTATTCTGTTCTAATTCTGGCTCAGATCTGTTAACTTTATGGAATTCGGCTTAGTAACAAGTTCAGACATTCTCTGAAACGGGACACATACTTGGAAGAATCTTTCACTTCAAGTTAAATGTTACTAATTGCATTCAGAAACTCTCGATTATTTAGTGTAAAGGGTTCAGGATTTGTTTACAAAGAAATATTATGCACCCAAGCATGACATCCTTGCTCACACCTAGTAGTATCTAAGTTGTGTTGCCTCTTTCACATGAGAAATCCCACTGAGCTCAGTGCAGCAGGGTGAGTAGTAGGCGCTACCTATTTCAGCTGTGGTTTGCTTAACTGAGGCCATGGTATCCTGCAGTTTCTAAACCAGCCACAGATTCAGTGAGGGAACTAGCAGCCACCCCTGCATTAATACTACCTTGTATTGTGCAGCGTACTGCGGTCCCAGATCAGCACAGCCTCGTAATAAGATGAAGGCTGTATCTGCCCTGTGACAGCTGCAAAAATACAACACGTGCCCTCAAATGTAAGATCTTGCCTTGATATCAAATGTTAGTAGAACTGATGCAACAAAATGTCTGGGGTAATTTATCAGCTTTTGTCCATTAATCTCGCCACTGGCTCCAAGTTCAGTCTGAAGTGCAGTTTGGCACAATGTTTCTGTGCTTCCCATGCCAGCTGCTTATTATTATCAAAACAAACATAAAATCTTCATAGACATTTCCCAAAGATATTCCAGCCACACAGTGCTAACTAGACCAAACGTCCACCGTGCAAATGATCCACAGGGATGTCACAAGAGTCAGGGAGACACTCGAAGGCTGGCAGGATGTCGGGCGTTCCTGGCACGATGCCCTTGCGCCCCTGTGTCCCTGCAGAGAGCCATACTGGCACTCGGATCGTCCCGTTGTGCAGCACCTACATTCGCTGTGTCTTGATCGAGAGGGGAGGCGGGTGAGAGCACATCTCCGCACACGGAGGAGTCTCCAGCTGCATCCATCACACAGCAACACAAGGGAGCCAGATGGCGAGGGACCGTTATTTGGCAAAGACACTACCAGGACTTTACGAGCTCTTTGCTAAGTTTCAGTTAACGAATTAAGTAAGCACAAACTGTAGATGTTAAATTAAATTAAATTAAATTAAAAAAAAAAGAAAAAAAAAAAAAAGGAGAAGTCTTCCTTAATCATGATAGCTTTTACCAGAAGAGAGCTTCAGGGCTTATTAAAGATGGAGCTGGGAAACTCTTCCCTCAGTTCTCACGTTTCCAAGGCTCTTCTTCAACAACACCGAAGTCCGCGGATTTGCCATTGGTTGCCAGCGTGACCTGCAAGTAATTATCAGCAACACACTGACTTAAAGACCAAGGCACTCTGATAAGCAAAATCATGAGTTTTATATGGAAGATCATGATATTTACAGGAATTATGTACCACGTGTTAACATATATATACATAAGATATTTATTCAGAATTCATAACATTCCCAAATACTGTTCATTTCAAATATGGACTATAAAACATTAGCAGTAGAAAAAATGTCCCAAATTTATTTTCTTAGCCTTTGCTGTAGTTTTGTTATTAAAAACTCTTTCAGAATTCTATTCTTGCCCTATCTCCTATAGTTTTCTTAGTACAGAAAATCTCATTTTATCAGCATAATTCCTTGGCAAAACAAGAAAGTTGATGCCAGGGCATGAAAAATGTGCAAGGAGAGAATAATATTTTATATATAGATATCTATTTATATACACAAAAAGAAAATTACCTGCAGCTCCAACAGCTTTAAAGACATGGAGGCAAAGACATGTTGTGAAAATATTGTTCATTGTATCACTAGTTTTTATCATGTAGTGAAATATTTTGGCTATTCTCAGACCAAATATCATAGTAATGCTGTTTGTTTCATATACAGTATAAAAACAAAATGTCACCGTTCCAGATAAAGCGTTGTGCTTCAGTATTAGTTTATGAGTATGACTGAGAGAAGACCTATAGTGATCTACCAACTTATGGTAAATACTGACCAGCATGTTGCATCCCCAAAATCATTGTCAATAAAGCCATGCTTCAAAAGAAATATTTCTAGCCAAACTGGTTAATTTTTTAAAGGTAAAATGTTATACCTTTACAAAAATGGTCTAGGACTTTATAATAGGAAGAACATCTTTCACTTAATTCTAGAAGAACGGTTTACTTTTTCCTAACTTACCTTAAAAGCTTGCAGTCTTAGTTTCAAATGAAATCTTAAAAATAATGCTGAAATTCCCCATGCTGAATAAACTGCATTCATGGAAGCTTCGGGACATGGACACATGGCAAAATGAAATGATTTTTGAAATAAAGTCAAGCGTTTTTCTTGGAGAATTGAAATGGTAAAACATGCAATTACAGGAATGAACAGCTTAATCACAGAGTCATGTGAAATGTGATAATAAAAAAATACAAAAATATCATGCAATAACAACCACTCTATCCCAACATAAAGTGAGTGCCTATTAAAAATATACATTGACCATGCAAAATTATAGACAAGTAGCACTATACATGGAATATATTACACAAAGTATGAGAAGAGACATGCTAGTAGATTAGCTTTCAAAGTTTTGACCAGAWTTGCAGTGAGCTTTTCACCCCACCAGTGCACTCTACAGGATGAAGTTATATCTCTTCAGATTTAACATCTGGATATTTTAAATGCCAAAATCTCTTGCATAACATAAACCAAACAAAAAAGTGAAATTCTGCTAGCTCATACATTTTTGTTCCTAACATTTCCCTACAGSATGGATTTAGGATGATGTAGCACATTATTCCATGTTTCTGAGGTAAACTAATGACTTGGTTGATAGGACTGTCTTGACAAACTAAAGAAAAAAATATAATAAGTAAAGTATCAAAGGACTGCATTCTAGCTTGGCTTGGACCTCTGGAAATCTGAGAGTCTGGAAAGAGAGAACTTTTGGAGCAGTGAGTTCCATGAACTCAACTCAGACTCATATGGTAGCTGAATTTGTACTGAACCCACTAGAACGATCACATTCCCTTTCACTGAAAAATGGGTTTCCAGAAGAAGTATAAAGTTAGTCAAGAAGTACTTGGAGTGGGGTACTTGTTAATCACTATAATCACTCCTCTGATCTCTTTGACAAGGCTAAAGTCAAGCACTTGCATAAAAATTAATTGTTTTAATTTCCAAATGCTTAACTCTTYCATTTTTCTCATGGAAAATGAGTAAGTCAGAACAAAATGTCCACTCTAATTAAAAATAAAAAAGTCACCTTATCAAAAACTTGAAAGATTCAGTGAAAAAATAATAAGATGAAAGCTCTTCTTTCTCTACCTGAAAATTCAGGTATGGCCTGACATTAGCTAGTACCACACATTAGTTTAAAAAGCTATTGTAAAGAAAAATTCCAGCCAGGCAGGGAATGTGTGAAAGCAATAATATACAATTTATACTTCAGTAATATACAACTTAYACTTCCACTATATGTGCTGCTTAGCTAACGGAAAGAAAGCAGGCATTTAGTTAGATGCTGCCTCAGCTGCAGCAACTATCTGCTTGGATAAACAGCCCCGGTCGACTCRCTGGCAAACCCAGCTGTCGGAGGCAATGTGCACAGGAGCAGACGAGAGAATTAATTAAAATAACTGACTCCGAAATGAAAGTTTCCAGCTGGTTGTTTCAGTCTTTCTCTCTCCTCCTCTTCAGTTAAAACTTCTCTCCCGATTTTAGACAGCCCGGTCCCAAATGTGGGTGCAAGGCAAACTCTGAACCACCAACCACCCCAAGTGTTCACCTGGTGGGGTTTCACAAGCTCACTCCGCTCTGGCAAAGACTTGATTATCACTATTATTAACTCATGTTACAGCAGGGATTAGAGAGAGGAGATGCAGTGTGTGTCTCAGCGAGGCAGGAGCGACGGCGGGAGCGAAGCGCGCGCATGCTGGGTGAGCGCAGGAGTGACCGGATGGCAAAGTGCATTCAGCATGTGCCTCTCTGCACGGCATATCATGGCAGGCAGGCAGCAAGTGACAACACCCGTATGTGGTTTGCAACTATCCTTCATCTCGAGCTGGCAATTAAGTTCTCTGTTGCCAAAGAAAATWAGGTAAATGTCCACAGAAGGTCATGCCATATTCTCTGTGTCTTGGCATATTTCCGTAACACACTGCCTCTTGCCTTTTGATATGTAAACAACATACATGATTTTTCACATCAAATGACATCTTTTAAGGAGAGTGCAAAGGAGCTTCTTTTGAACTGCTCAAACTCATTCCAAATGTCTGGGGTTCATAGAGCTTGTTCTCACATTGCTATTTGTGGAACGATTTGAAAAACACATGCACATTTTAAAAAATAAAATAAAACAAAACATACAGTACTATATACATGTCTCAATATCCATAAATGTGAAAGGTACCTTGCACTCATCTACTATGACTGAATTGTGAGCTGCATAAACGCACTGGTTTGAGTTGTTTTCCCTATGATTTTTCATGTCATCGTAGATTGACTGAGTCTTGGTCATTTCAATATCTTCATGCCCTTTATGATGAGAGTCAATAGTGTCAAGTTCAGCCTTGGAAAGGTGGTAGACAATGCCAGCACCGAAAGAATCCCCCACGACATTGACTGAGGTCCTCATGCGGTCCCTACAAAAGAAGCAAAAGGCAGAGGTTGAATGTCATGAAAGGAAGAGAAAGGTAGAGCCTGAAAGGATGATTTACTGTTACAGCTCCTGCATTTTTTTCAGAAAGGTTATGGCATTTTTATAATAGGGAGGATCGTGGCCGTCAGGTGGAATACCTCAGTTTTCCAGGGGACTTGCCCAGGAAGAATGGATACGCAAAGCCCCATGTCACAGCTGCCCACACTCACTGCTCTTGGCAAATAACTTGCCCTAGAAACTGAGCCAAACTGCAGATCTGTGCTTCACCAAGACCTCCCTGGTGCTGCTTCTGGAACTGAAAGTTTCACCCTAAATCGTCTGGCCTGCATCGCCTTCCTTGGGTTAATCTGAATTCATGGAGGCACTAACCATACTTAATAAAGCCAGGGAAAACAGCTTTGGATCTGCAAGCATCCTTCGATCTTAACATTAGTTTAAGTGAGAAAATTATGAGAGAGAGGAGAAAAAAAAAAAAAACTGTCTGCATAAGTCTCAGGCCTTCCAAGCTCCCACTACATGCCCTTCTGTTGGTGCTATCTTCACAGATGGTCATCTGTCAGCATGGCACCATGCCCACTCACTTACTGCGTGCCAGCACTCAGCGTAGGAGCCAGCCAAATATAGGTCATGGCCTACAAAATGACGAGCCCACGACAGCAGCTCAGTAACAAGTCGCCCCTAGCTGCAAGGAGGTGCCAGCTGAGGTCCACATGCTTCCCTACAAAGAAACCTGCTTGCTGGCACCTCCTGAACACGATGCCATCGGACAGAGACAATCTGCCTTCCTTTGCCTTGCTTTTACAACGTGATGCAATCTGTTTGCACTCCACTCATAACTGTGGATTTTCCCTCGTTCTGTCCCAAAACCTCGCAAAGGGGGGTCATAAAGAAGACTGCAGGACTGTGAGCTCACAATCTTTCCTGTGGCAGACAAGTCGTATTATACAGTATGAAATCATCTGCACCTGCCAAATAGGTGCCAGCAGCAAGTGATTTGATTTGCCTCTGTGCAAGACTCTTGAAAAACTTGTGCTAGTTGCAATTTAAAGGCACTAAGTTGTCAAAGAGATCAGAGAAGCAATCACAGTGATTAACTCCCCATGGCACATCCACCTCACCTCACCTCTCCAAGGTGCATTTGAGGAGCATCCACAAAGACTTATTCACCCCTAATGGGCAGGTCTGGCAGACTAACGAGCAGGGCTCAGAGAAAAGCCCGTGCATATGACCTCTCTCTCCCACGACACTAATTAATTTGAAAACACTCCACTACTGCTAGCATTAGATTTAGGTGGCATCTCTGTTTCCTGTACAACCCTGAGCAAAGAGAACAAAACAAAACAAAAAACTTAAATGACAGACACTGATTATTCATGCTTATTTATGTCCATAAAATCTTCTGAGAACTTTTCAACATCTTTGCCCTAAACATCTGTAAATCTGCCTTTCCCACCTGTGGAACTGTATTTCCTTTCAAGTTTCCTCCTTCCTTCTCTTATCTTGCTTACATGTTTGGAGCTTGCAGTGTAATTTCTTACCTGAATCAGCCCATTTCTATCTTCAAAAGAAGACCCAGAAGGAAAAGAAGTCTCCAGTAATCCCACCAAAACCCAAACAAACCAACCACAGGCAAAATAGGTTCTTCCAGTTTTGCTTCACTTGAATGAAATGTTTTACATAGTTATCATCCTGTGCCTATGAAGACTGTTTTAAACATAGCTAGAGAGGGGCACTGTAGGAAAATACAATTTGCTGAGGTGAATTTTTGATGAAGACTATCGATCAAATATACTACTGTGCTACAATGCCATAAGAATATTAAAGTACACCTGCTTAATTTTTATTTGCATAGGGAAAAATGAATTTTGAAAGGATTCATTGATGCCAGACTAGGGAAGGACAGTATATGATGCCAAAAAAAGGAGGTGGAAAGAAGAATACATAAAAATAATTTAGGCATGCTTCTTATTCTGAAAGGGTCATTTGAGGAGATGCTACAGCCCACGTTCAGTGCTAGTAGCCAAGAGATGCACTGATACCAACTGCACAGTGGTGCAGAGCACACTACACTGAATTGAACAAAGAGTTTCCTTAAAGAAAAGGACAAAATCCTGGGAGGAATAATGAGAAGGAAAGTCAAAGTTCCGCCTCAAAAAACAATTCAAAATTCAAAGCTTTGGAATCACTGGGAGGTAATTCTTTAAATCCTGATGAGGAGGTAAGTGCATTATCTCCTCAAACTGACAAAAATCACAAGCTTAACAACCTTGAGAAGAGGAGAAGAAAAGAGAGGAACTGAATCAGACCCTCAAAGTCTCATTATTATCAGTATTTATTAATTAAGCCTTACCCACAGTATCCTAGCATGCAAAAAGGCATTCTTCTTTCCTGGGAACTTAAAAACCCGGGCAAAAACCTTACTGGATTTTAGAAAGGAGATTAAAATCTTAACATCCCTTGCTAAAGCAGAAATCAAGGAATATGTTCAATTTGTCTTACTTCATTGCCATTCTAGGAAAGATCTCCTATTTCCTACAACTTAATTCAATTTATATGCAGCCTTGTCTGTAATACTCACATGTTGACAAGGCCTGAATGTGCTGACTTTATAGATCTAAGTCAAGGAAAAGGAGTCAGAAATCAAGTGCTCTTTTCCTATCTGAATTTCTGAATGAAGGTAGATGCTCTAAATACTGGATCAGCTGCCCAAGCTCATTTTCTCTAATTCTTCTTTCCTCGCTGCAAAACAGTACTGTACTTGAGGCTGTGCTGTGATATTTGCTAAGTTTGTCAGCCTCACATTTGGAAAGCAGCCAGCTCCTGGCTAGCGCAAAAGCAGCTGGATTCATTCCAGCTGTTGGCGTGTAATTACTGTCCTATTAAATGTCACTGCTGTGTTGCGCTTAATTTTAAACTGAGAAACCATGAGAGTTGCGAAAGCTTGAGAAACTTGCCTGGTGAAACCTCAGTCTGTGTATGTGTACGGGGGTGGGAGAAAGGTCGACCCATCTGATCTCTAGATTTTGAGGTGGCTTTAAAAGATATTGATACAGAAACCTTTTTGGCTCCAGTTTGAAGGAGATGGTGTCAAGCTCACGGCCAAAGACAGCTCAGCTTTGTGTCAAACCACGCGCTCAAAACATTCAAAGCTGGATTTGGTTAGAATGCAGTTTCAGATAATTGCAGTATTGCAAAAGAAGCTGATACAAGTTACATCTGAGTTGGCTTTTGTGCTCTTTTCTAGCATCTGCAATGCCAGCAACAACCTTTTGCATATCTCCTTAGACCAGGATGGCCACAACACAACCACAAGAAGGTGGAAAATGATGCTATTTGACATGGTGTACATCAATTGGCATGCCACCTCCAACTACAAACTTTGTCTTACCAGCATTACTGACGTGACACAGGTATTTGCTTTTTCATTTTATTTTTTGTGTTTTCCCCTCTCTTTCAATTTTAAAGCCCTGGAACTGCATTGCTGATTGTTAAGCCTAAAGGATCCAAAGCCAGCCAAGGRGGCTGAAAGGCTCTTTTGCCTGGCATTGACTTAGGAAACATACTTGAAATATCTCTTTCAGAAGCACTATCTCTTAATCTATCTTTTCCATACTTATATTTGTCACTGCTACAGGGCCACAGTACAGACATTTATATGTCTGCAGTGTTGGATGACCCAGAGATAAAAATGTTGGAGCTGAGACTAAAATACAGCATCAACCAGTGGATYGGAACTGCTGGTAAATTTACAGCTCTGAGGTTTGCTAGTGTGGGCAGAGCTTCTCAGTCCACAGGAATATTTTTAAATGACATTTCCCTAAAAAAACAAACAAACCACAGGCTCCATTTGCACATCCTCCTACCAGCKGCAGAAACCTATCTATTTGCCTTCACTTTGAGAGCCAGTAAAAACATGTATTTAAAATGAGTGAGCACCTCCCTTCTGCTCTCCTCCTCCCAGCTGCAGATTCCTACACTGTTTTCCTGTTTTGAACCATGATTTCATAAATATAATAAACCCACAGAATGTCATATTTTTCCCTATCCTGTACTCTGACAGCTGAACTCTGCCTTATTTCACCATTCTGAGTCATGGTATGGTATTCAGTTATATATAAAATATATAAGTTATTCTTTCTCTGCTTCACCAAGCTGAAATTGCCTCCTTCAGGAATCAGAGCTGGAAGCTATTCTTCAAGACTCTTAGTGACATGACAGGTATTAACAGACACAGCATAGCAGTAGCCCCAAAGGACATGTCAGAGGATTGACCAAGATCCTGAATTCTTCTCAGTAAGCCAAAAGATAAGTGACAAAGTCATTTCCTATTTTGTCTTGATACTCTTATCACTGCTTTTCTTTCTTGCACAACTTTAGTAGTATATCTGGGACTAGAAGCTGCCACAAGCCGGCAGYTGTGTGCACCAGTGGTAGGAAGAAATGCACAAACAGTCCAGAGTGTCCAATATTCCCTCTCATATCCCACCCGGGTGCCATGGCTGACACAAGAGCCCACTACGTGAAAGAGTTTAGGGCGAAGGATGGTGGCTGGCCAGAAGACACTCTGCCACGGCAGCAGAGGAGCACATAAAAGCCTGCAGAGGCCAGTGCAGCTTAGAAGGAGGAGGCCTCATCAGCACCTGTGAAAGTGACAAAAAGATGTTAATGCTGCCAAATGGCAACATCAGAAAGGATCCGACCTGGTACATATCCTATCTATATTAATAGCTTCTGCATCTAGGTATTGAGGGACATAGGCCTTGGAAAACTATCCTCGAATTTGCTGTTTCTTGTTTGTAGACACCTTCCCTCACTCTGAAGGACTTTGAGTTCAAGATCTTGAAAATGAAGATAGGTCCTTGAGATTTTGTCAATTTGTCAGGAAAATCCAGCTAGGGAATAACCTTCTATCTTGCCATTTGTTTTATAATTTTATTTCATTTATGCACCACTCCAGGACAGCTGTCCTACAGTTTTTCACTTAAAAGCACCTGACTTTCTTATGAACAGGAAAAAAAAACGACTTTCTTCATTATGARTGTGAAACTTTTCATATGACAAATACCCAAGCCCTACTGTGACCATCTGACAGGATTTGGACCTCCATATTCAGCATCCATCCTAATTTTTAGATCAGAACAATGAGAAACAGAACTACACCAGTAGAAATGAGAAAAATGACAGTTTAGCTAAGTCTTCAATGGGGAGGCATCACGCAAGAGAGCACAACTTACAAAAGCCAGTCAACAGCCACAAGCAAGCTGATGTCCTGCGTGGGGAGCCCCACTGCCGTGAGGATGAGCAGCATGGTGACGAGGCCTGCGCTGGGAATACTGGCAGCCCCAACGCTTGCCAGGGTGGCGGTCAAACTGCAAAGAACAAAAACAAAACCAAAGGGCAGTAGCAGGAAGCGGAACATAATTTCATCGCACGTTCAGGTGATGATTTGGAAGGTCTTTCTTCTAACAAGCTCTTCCCATAAAACCAAGGGCTGTATGATAAACCATGGCAAGTTCAAGACAAGTTTGGTGTTCCCCCAAGGATACTTATTTAATACTAGCCAGATCTACAGGGTTTGTTCTGAGAGCTATAAAACTAAGCAGGGTTATAACATTAAAATCTTGAGGTTAGTAGTGTTTTCCTAGCACTACCAATACAGTTTTTATCATCCAGGCTCGCTAAAGTTCGATGTTTATGGGTTGAATTTCCAAGATGGTTCATTTCTGTTTGTTTATGGGACTTCCAGAATGAACTAGGAGTTAACAGTTTAGAGAAAATGGTTATTACCAAGGAGAGAAGGGTAAAGTTCTTGGTATCCCAAATGCATTGTTCACGCTGGTGATGTACCATGCCTAGCTACAAATCACTCTATATCCAAAACCAAAATTCATCTGATTGTGTCACAAATCCAAACTTATCTTTGCTTTTGTTTCTCTCTTTTTTTTTTTTTTCTGTTTTGTTTAAGACCACTAGAGTAATCATCTGTACTCCAGAGCTCCAAATGCTGGAAGCTGTAAGAGTGCAGTTCAAACCACAGCAAGCATTAGCAGTGCTGAGCAATGCCATGCAGAATGGAAAGTAATTTGACAGAGAGTAAGTAAAAGGGAGGGCGAGGTTAAAAATAATTAAAAAAAAAAAAAGATAAGAATAAAAAAATAAAAGGCAAGGGAAGAAAGAAGAGGGGAAGCGGGAGAAGGAAAGGTGATGGAGAAGAATAAGTTTCAGCCTTTTCGAAGCAGAACACAGAGCTGACTAACACAACTGCAATTCTGTGGGTGTAACCAGCAAATCTCAAAGTGCTTCCAGCACAGAAGTAGGGGAAGGGGAAAATCCTCGGCTGTCAGCCACAGATCCGCTCTGTGGGGATGTTAGCCTGATATCAACCTGCCAGATGGCAGATCTGACCCAGACGAGGCAGGCTGCGGAGCTGGCCAGGTGTCCGGGTTAGAGCACAGCCTGGCTTCCTAACGCCCCAGCTACGTCCAGCAGGTACGTGGGCAGGATGCTCGGCTCCACTGCCAGGCTCCGAGCATCGTGCCAGCTCCTCAGGCACTTCCAGCCTCAACTGGTGAGGGAGCATTCCCAAGCTCATGCCAGCCTTCGTGCTGCAACGCTTACAGGGCTAGAGGGCACAGAAGCTGCTCAGGTCCAAACTGAGCCTGGCTTGGCCACTGTTTCCAAGATCAGGGTCTCTGGTAGAAGACAGGAAATCACAATATTTGTATGACCAGTAAGAAGTAACTAGAGCTAATTAAATATTAATCTTGAACAGACAAAAGTCTTTGTGAATTKGTGTTCCCATCATCTCAGTATCCCCAGCTCCACAAGCTCCATTTGGCAGGCATGAAATAATATGAAATAACTCTCCCTTCACTTGCACTGCTACCTCAAGGGAGAGCCGGCTCCACACTGTTGCAGCAAAAAGGCTATGTTGCAGGAAGGAGGAGAACCAGTGGTTTTCCTACAGAGCCCAAAGGTGCCCACTGCTTAGTAAATGTGAGTCATAAGGTTGCCTACACCAGCCTTAAAATGCTGAGACCAGACAGTGCTAATGAGTCAATCCCTCAAAAAGAGTGCAAGTGGGAGAAGGGGGACTCAAGCCTACCAAACCTCTTGACCAACTGCTGAGCCTTGCCTTGTCTCCATTTAGTCTAATACGTGYCTCCTCTGAAATGACTGCTCCCATTTCCAGCAACAAAATTGCACCACTCACGTCCAGCATCTCACTTCTCTAGAAGCTCGTTTTTGGTTTGTTTGGTTTTTAACTATTTTAGGGGTTAGGGCAGGAGACAAAGGAATGGAAAACGTGCTGGCAATAAAGCTGGACAACAAACACAGAATTAAGCATTGCTATGCAGGTGTTTCTCTAGTGTTAAAACGGTTTAATAAAACAAAGGCGTGCGAGTGAAAACTGCAGGAAGGCGGCAAACTTGGCAGCTTTCACTTGTGGTTCACATTTGAACTATTCAAAATGTTAGGTCTGGTGTCTTCATCAAGTTTTCCACCATGAGTTAACTTTAGCTGCAGCAGTCATAACTCTGACATTCTTTTTCATTAGTCACCATATCTAATGACTCTTAAAACTGGATTACAGTAAACAGTCTTGAATTACTCCTACTCGTTTTAAATGTGTAGTTTCTTCTGACCTTCCAGATATTCACCTGAATGCTAATTACTACTACTTGCTATGAAAAGATAGGGCTAATAATTTCTGTGTTAGAGAAAAAAAGTCTGAGAGTACTTTGACTGTGCTACAGGTAACCTCATCCTGAGGATGTCCTATGCTCAGTACACTGTTTTTGCTGTTAATTGCGGTAGATTTTTTTTTCTCCTATTTTTTTTTCGTTCTTTTTTTTTCCAATGAATATAAATAGGTATACTGTACAAAGTTAATGTCCCTCATACCACTTTTAGGAACCCTCTATACTGTGTGAATTATCACACAAGACAGAGAAAAACGTTGACTTTCACCTTGCAATGCCATCTACAGACCCGTTAAAAACACTACCAGAATGTCCTAAAGTGGCAAATACTCACAGAAAGCACAAGTCATTAGGAACAACATATATGGCACTCTTCTGCATGGCATTATTAAAAAACCACAAATTTTGTAGTGGATCCCACAGCCACTGAGAAAACACCCAACCCAAAGCTTCATATTTTACAGTCTTCAAAAACCCAGTCCACAAATACTTTGAACTCACCTCACAGTAACTATCTGCCCTCCATCCAGCTCAATGCCGTTCATTTGTGCGATGAAGATGGCAGCCACAGCTTCATAAAGAGCCGTTCCATCCATGTTAATAGTTGCTCCAACAGGAAGAACGAACCTTGTTACGCGCTTATCAATGCCTAAATTTTCTTCGAGACATCGGAATGTAACAGGCAATGTTCCAGCACTGAAGGAGAGAAAGCAAATACATACGAGGGACATAATTAGAAAATAACAGACATACATGAGGGAGAAAAGTCAAAAATTCCTGTATCATTGTTTTCATTTKCTATTAGCAATTCCTGCTGTGATTCAAAACTTTTTGGACAATTTTTTAATTTAGACTGCATTTAGAAAATTTTTCAAATTTTCAAATTAGACTGGAGAATGGACTGTGGCCAAGAACAGAACAGCACTTAGGCTTCTCAGAGCTCAGAAACAGGAAAGGATACGAAACATGGCTGCAGGATAGGAAAGGATGTGAACCATGAATGGAAACATGACTCCTCGTCCACAGTGCCTTGCATTTGTGGGAACAGTGCAGGCTATTGCATTCACTAATTCAAAGCAGAACACCTTCATCTAAACACATAGCTGATAACAGATCATAATCTTTACCCCTGTGGATGCAAATATCTGCTACTTCTCCCCTTCCCTAGCAGGTCTGCCTGCTTTAGGAAAAGGACTTGCTGCTACAGGCACCAAACCTTCACAGAAGCATGTTTTGGTTCCTTAATTCATGGTGGTATCCCTGAGGTCAGGTCCACCACTGACTGTAGTTTACTGATGCCTGAGAAAGCTGCTCTGAAAAGGGAAAGCTGACCTGGGGAAATTCCTTTAAATCAGTGTTTCAGGACTGAATCAGCTAGGGTGCATCTGCTCTAGGTTGTTTGCTTTTCTCCAACTGACCCTGCAGTCAGTTGGATAACTGTAACAATAAGCAGATATTCTCAGTGACCTTGGCTACTGCACCACTGTTAATGCTACTGTCATTGCCCTTTATAAAAATACTAATTTGCTTATAATAAAAAAAGTAAAGGACTAAACTCACCAAAGGTTCTCAAATAAATACTTACAGCATATTGTTTCTAGTGCCTTGCAACTTCAGAGTCTTTCCAACTCATTCATTCATTCATTACCACAGAGACACTATTGGGTAAAAAAAATGTAATCCTTCCATTTTACAGATAATCAAAGCAARGAAAAGGGAGATTAAGGCATGATTGAAGTACCTAACCACCAGAACATAATACTCCATTAAATGTCCTAGATATCTGGGACAACTGCATGAGATGCATATTTATCACACAGGATCTATGGGTAACCCAAACCCTTCTGGACTGCTTGACACCTTAGTCACTTCCTAAATTACTCTTCTGATCCTGCATCTATGGCAACTTGGAAGTCAGGAGCTTAGGCCTCTACCTTACACTCAAATGTCTAGGTCTGTGTTTCTAGTCAAAACAGAGACAATTCCCATCATGTAAAAACAATATAGTATTCTCTCATAAGTTACTCTAGTGCATGTATTTATAGCAGGTAGCTGAAAAGATGAAGTGAGTCATCAACCAATAATTACTAGTCAATTTTTAAGTCAATATTGGGATTTCCTTGCCTGATATGGTAACAATATTCCTCCATCTTATTAAAGGAACAACAAAACTAAAAAATGTAGTTCATTGATGCATATTGAAACCAAGATAGACAAAGGTCTTTTTTCTTCCAAACAGATAAATCCCACACCAATCAGATCATCAGCACATAGGGCGTATGAGTCAGCTGYGCCCCTGTGAGCGAGGGTAGGTGGGCACACAAGATGTCTTTGTTAAAAGAGCAGTAAATAGGTGCCTTACTCAGTCTGACCCAACAATGAGCCCTAAGAGGAAGCAYTTGCACTGCCTCGAGGCACCAGATTAGACTGTATGATGGTGCCTGATGCAACTTGCCTCTGGAGYTACAAACTGGTCCAGGTCTGTCCAGCTGGTTGCTCAGACCTGAAGTGCAGTCTGGTGACAAAGTCAACACCCACAGAAACCCATAAGCTGGAACCACTTAGGAATTCCCTACCTCTTTCAATTTTCAACCTGCAAAAAAAAAAAAAAAAAAAGTGATTTCGCGCTTAAAAAAAAAAGGAAAAAAAAAAGGCAAATGAAATGTTGTGTATGGACACTGGACATTTTTAATTCAAGGCTGAGGTAGAAACCAATTGTATTTTATTCAAGGTCATGGCCAAGCTCCATTATTTTTCCAGCTTCTGTCATTATTTCTCTCATTCTTGTTCATCAAGGGAGAAGTTTTGCCCCAGAGAGTGGCAGATAAAATCCAGTTCTCTTAAGGCACTTCTGAAATTAAGAATACTCTGTTTTCTGATGGTCACTTTTGAATTAGTTTGTTTGTTTTTCCTTTTTACTAAAAAAAAAAAGGAAGATCACATTTTATCCAGAATTTAAACATGTTTTGAAGAAAAACAATTACTATAAAATACAGTTTTCCACAGGAAATAGTTTCAACACGAATCAGGGATAGCTCACTTGCAAAGCATCACAACTAATTACCCAGAGCTGCGACAGTCTCCTGCACACTTTGCTGAGTCTGGTTTGGGCATTAACTCCAGATCAAAAATGCTCAGCTCTGCCCTGGGGTCCCCTTACTGCGCCAACAGGATAAAAGAGGAAAAGSGAGGCTTTTTTAGCAGCTCTGCTGCCATTTGTGAAGCAGACAGTATTCAAGTGTAATTTTGCAGAGAGCTCCCTGTCCTCGCAGGGGAGTGCAGAAAGGACCTGGGTACACTGAAATCCTCAGCGCCAGCAGCAGATACAGACAAATCCTGGAGTGCTCTAACTCTCCACTTTCTACAGCCTCCGCTGCCTACTGCATCATGCTTAAAGGCTGGATGTGACTGGCAGCCACGGGAGATTTCCCTACACCTCCTTTATTTCTCCCTTGGGGCCCAGCACACCTCTTTCCTTCTGACACAGCAAGGTGAATGCCTATCAAGAGTCAAATTAAAATTCCTTACAGCTTGCTACATTAATAATGGCTTGAAAGCACTCACRCCACTTTCTCACTAACAGGCTTTCAAAAGGTGAGCAAACAGAATTATCAGCGTTTCCTAGTGGAGGAGACCGGCCCAGAGGTAACACAGTTTGAACAAATCACAGGGCCAATAYTGGAGAGGAAAACAGGAATGGGGGCTGCCAGATCCCTTCAGCTGGCTGTGTGACCTCTCTCAAAGAATCACCAGGGCAAATGGTAATTGTTTTTTCCCAGCAAGACTGAGTAACAAAAAGCTTTTATTCAATGGCATAAAATGATCTTGCAGTGAAGGTCAGAACAGCAGATGTATTATCTCTAAACAGCAGCTAATCATCTGCTAAAAAGTAAATAAAGCTGTTATTTCTCAAGTGTACCTGGAAGCGGTGCCTAGTGCTGTGATCCACGCCTGGAAAATCCCAGCAAGGAAGGAGAAGGGGCTTTTCCTGGTTATCACAAAGTAGAGCAGAGGCAAGAAGATCCCCCCATGGATGACTAGGCCCACGATCACAGTCACCATGTACATGCCAAGCTGCCTAGCAACTACTTCTAAGTCCTTGATTGCAATGATTTTCCCACAGATGAGGCAAGCGATGCCCAAAGGGGAATACCTAGAAAAAGAGAACAAGCAAGAACAAGACAGAAGGATCCTTAGAGCATGCAGTCACAAACTCTGCAGAATACAGACTAGCAAAAGAGACAGGACACTCAATGCTGAGATGCAGATCAGGAAGGGATAGAAATTCAACGAATAGCTTTGACATCTTTTTACAAACAAAGGCCATTCCTGCAAATTCCACATTTACTTCACTTTAATTCCGGAACATCCTACAAGAATATAGTAATGTTACACATGCAGCTGCTTAGGACCATTCTGAAGAACAGTGCAGTAGTTGTTCTTAGTATGCAACGCTTCTAGCTCAAACAGCTCATTTGGTTTCAGGGAATTGTATTATTTGCTTCAGTTAAATTACTTCTTGGAATTAATTGCCTTTCTTTTTTTTCTTGAATGCTGCTGATGTCTCTGTTATGCTCTTCTAATCACTTAGAAAAACACTTTTTAGTCTATGGATTCTTCATTTATGAGCTTCAGTTATGTGCTGTTTATGATAGGTTATGAGGAATCACCTCAGTCAGGTGCTCCCCTCATGGGAGTAACTTTTAACAGCAAATTTTAAAGAGGAGGACTGTGCAACCCCATAAACAGATTTGAAATAAATAGTTTAAATCATCCGAAGTAAAAACACCTGAATGTGCATGCATAGAAGATAACATTTATTGACCCACTCAATGTTCTCTCAAGCAGCATGCCCCAAAACTGCAGAGCCCTTTGTCATCAGTCACTTAAATTGCAACACCAAATGTTATCGTACAGYCGGTGTTTCAGTAAGCTTGATGAAGCATACTCCTTATAATGAATTATATGGTGTCAGAGTCAGAGGTCAGCCTTCTTTTATATTCCTGCAGTGATGCTGGGCTCCTGAGTCTTATAAACCACTGGAGCTGACACAGGAGTTATAGCCTTCTGGGCAGAAAAATCATAAACCAAACAAAATGCAATTCTGCTTAAAGAAGAAATGCATTTGTCTTTATAAACACCCACGAAACAGTGTTCTGGCCACAAAAGCTCTCTAACTGTGGTAGGCAGTGATGAATAAGTGAAACTCCCAGCATTAACTAATCTCTTTCTCAAGGAAAAAAGAAACAAAAAAGCACATAAGTGAAAATAAACATTTGCAGTGGATATGTTGAAACTGGAATAGTTTCCTGTCGTTGCAAAACCAACTACTAGAGAAACTTTGTAACTACAGTTACATATTATGTCTTGGGTGAAATAAGAGTACATCCTAGCTCTTGAAGTGTTTTGAGAGCACAGTCATGGTTTCTCTCTATGTGGTCAAGTGCAACTGATTACAATAGTGAGAAGATAAGCTTTTATGAATAAAAACATTTATGTTTTTATTTGGCAAGATCCCCTATTGAAAAGCAGAAGCATAACAGGAATGCATGGCCATTCTTTAACTTTTGTTCTACACATTTCCACATAGCTGTGGCTATGTGCATCACTCTTGCATAATGCATTTTCCTCTGAAACGCTGCTAATGCTGACGGCTCGTGCTTGAGGCCCCTTGCTCCTGTTTCTGGGAGCAAGATTAAACTGTACATCAAGAACCTCAAAGGAAAGAAAACGTGCAGCCCTGTGACTCAGGACATTGCATTTCCAGGTACATCTGGCAATTGTGGAGTAAACAGGTCCTATCAGATGTATTACATCGGAGTGGATATTTCTGCTCTTGGAACTCACTGCTAACAGTAGTCAGCTTGTTAAAGAGCTGGACTAATCCTAATTTAAACACACGCAGTGCAGTCACACCAATCTGGGACAGTAAGCGTTGGCAAAAACAGTAGTGTACAATCAGTTTGCTTAGTTTGTGCTAGCACAGAAAATGACATTGCCTTTAGCTGACTGAGTTGAGTAGTGTAGGACCTAAGAGATACCCAAGCTAGCACCAAACTAGCAGCACTATGCCAAATGTTGCCATGTATTGCTGTGTTCTGAAAAACTGTTTTTTTGTGTGTGTGATATGTCAATMTTTGACACTGTGTACAAACAGCTCCAGGGAAGCATTTGGAAGAATCCTCTCAAAGAAAGAGTGAATCCCCCTCTTAAAATGCAATAAAGGTCTCAGTCCTGACGGCGTGAAGTCATTCTTGTGAWGGCAAGCCAGGCCTTGGCACTGTGATGGGCACACTTCAAAAGCCAGGGGCTAAACTCCAGTGCCCTGACTGTGATGAGCTTCTAGGAGACAGATTCTGCAGAAACTAAGCAGGTGGAAGGCTATAAATCTCTGACAAAYACTGGAACTTTATTTAGTGCTAAGCCAATTTTTTTTTTACAGAAGACAGTTAACAAAGTCTGTCTCCAGGCTTCTTTACAATCATGCCTCCTAGCTAATACCTGGGATTACGCTAACCTCCCAGGAAGATTTGGATGTTCTTATGTGGGGCTTGCTAGACTGCATAGGTGTCCCACTAAGGTGTTACTCCTTAGATAATTAACTTCCACAATAAATGTGGCACTTAAAGGTCCTTCCTGGTAGCTGCATATCTTGGATTTTAGTAAACAGAAAAYAGAATCAACCATCTTCAGAAATATTTCAAAATGGGCCCTAAATAATCCTCACCAAATAAAAAACAATGCTGTTCTGCTTCTAACACCCTTGTTAGAACAGGATATTAGAACGGAACTATTTCATTAAACAGATTACCAATAAATCGCATTCATTAAACACAATATTAGGGTTTTGTGAAATTTTAAAAAAAATCTGTTATGTGCCAGAAGTTAGGACTTCAAACTTACCACATGATCATAGTTACTAGCTTCATCACAATCTCATTCAGGATATTGAAGAAATCCACCATCATCTTGGCCTGCTCTCCCATCTTCCCCATAGCAATGCCAAAAGCAATAAAGAATCCTATCAAACCTATTGGGAAAAAAAATCGTAACTCAAAGAAAAGTAAGAGAAACGAAGTCTGTTAGTAAGTTCTTGCACCTAGTCAAACTCTTGATACTACCTGCTTTATCCGTTTTTCAGGATGACTCTACAGAGAYCAAGACTGTTTTTGGAAAGCTTCAAGAAAATCTCTTGACCTACCGACTAGTCAGCCCTAGAATACAGAGAAAGACAAAAGCAGCCCAAGAAAACACCCTTTGTAGGCCAGGTGTATCCCAGTTAGATGAACAACAAGGGGGTGGGAGCAAATGCTGGGTGCTGTATTTTAAGCTAAAGTAGAGAAGTCACCTTAAAGATATTAACTTCACTGAAACTGATAATATATAGTTTTAGAAATCAATATGAGTAAGACCAGACTCCTAAATTTAAATTGCTAAAGTATGAAACTCCTGCATATTGAGACTACCAATCTGATARACCAATTGAGTGCACCTGTGAAGTATTACTTTGGAGCTGTGCTCCCAATGCTAAGCTTTACTATCCAGTAACTTTAAGTGTCCAGAGTAGGATTATTAAGTGATACTGATAGATGGTCTGTGGGAGCTCTTTGAGGTTAAACTTYGAGATGCAATGTGAGTTCAGTACTTAACAAATGTGTGAACTCAGTTTGGAAATTCCCCAGGAAAATCCCCTTAGGATACATAAGCAGCAAGAGAAGGGAATTTCAGCTTCCAGTATCCTGGGAAAAGACAAGCTGTTCCATATCCTCCCACTGAGTTCAACAACAATCTTTTTACACACTCTTGGATATAAAATCATCCTCTCACCAACCCATCTTTGTGGAGTCACTTATATTGGGAAGGGAAGTACATGTATGTGTGCTGCAGAGCATGAAGAAATGATGAAAAGCTTTTCAGTCAAAGATCAAGTAACTTCCTGGAATTCAGGCTGTGCATCAGAAAATGTTAGTAGGTGGTTTTGTTCCGTTAATTCCAAACTAGCTGTTACATTAGTCATAGCAGTCAGGCTGGTTCACATTTGCAGGAATTTGCRGGGCTTCTCCAGTTTATGCAAGCAATTCCCCACCATTTTCACTTCTTTTGAACAACATTAGAAAGTCATTGTTCAAAACACTTCAGCAATTCTTTCACCTACACTATGCCTTTAATGCTGTATATTTACTTATTCTAGGAATTTTATCTAGTCTTCTGGCTCCTTTTCTATTCATGACAGGGCCAGCACAATTCCAGCACTGGGTGCACCTCATACATTAGCAATACTGCTTCATTTTGAGACATAAGCAGAGCTCCAAGTGAGAAAAAACAAGTGAGGATAACAGTATGAGCAATGAGCTACTGCCTCACCCAGAGTGCAAAATGCCAATTTGCACCTTGGCCAGAAAGTAGCTCCTCTGCCCACTGATGTTTCATGGAATGAAATGTCATTGAGTTAGGCAAAATATAGTGGCTTCCAGATCTTGCTCAGCAAGCTGCTTCACAGAGAAGCAAACTATCTGTGACCATCTTTTTGATGGTATCTTCTCCATGCCCAGGCAGAGCAGCCACTGCCAGTCAACTCACCAGCAACTGAAGAAGCTCTGCAGGTCCAGCAGYCCCCTTCTCCATGGGAACAGCTCTAAGTACGGTACAGGGGGCTATTTGCCCATGACAAGGGATGGCTCAAGTGGTTTTCACYGACTAAAGCAGTGGTTTAGGTATTGCCACACGCTGTCCCACTCTGAAGACAGCATCTATAAACACACACCAGTGCGAGCCTCACCCCTGTGTCAGACCACGTGTATGTCCAACTGTAGGCGTGCAGATGAGTGCTACAAATTGTGGGCTAATTTGTGACCAACCTCACCCACRTCCAAAAAGAAGGTGAAGGACTGTGCTCTTCTGTCCGACCAAACCATGAGTTTAGATATGCAGATGAAAACAGGAGAGGTGTGGTGGCCTTTCAAGCCCTGTCTTCCCCGCATTAGGACAGGTGCTTTGAGAAGGGGTGAGAGAGAGGGGCAAAATCTTCTCTGTACCAACCCCACGGGCTGGCTTGTATAGGCAAGATGGCACGATGGTGGTTGCTTGTAACTTGCAGCTGGCCAAGGTCAGCCGCCAAGATGAAACAGGGAGGGAGCTGTGACTCAGAGACGTGTCAAGCCTCAGGGATTTCTCTTGGGTGGTGCGGTTCACACCCCACCTAGTGCTTCAGGCCGAGCCTCAAGCCCAATTCTGGTTCAGCATGGCCAAGAAACCTACGGGAAAGAACTGAGCTCGAATTCAGCAGGGGAGGGGAAAGCACTGGCTCCGGAAGCTTTACCCCCTACTGCTTTGTGGCAGYGTGCACTGCTTCTAGTCTAGGTAGGCTACTTAAAGGATGAAAGGATATTTTGGTTGCCTCCTACACGCTTCMCTATTGTACTCCAAAAAACACCTGCAGAGCTGCCAATCCAAGATAGTTTGCTTGACTGTTTCTCTGATCTAGTCATATTTCTACTAAGACCATAAGCTTTTCATCTCTGAGACCACTGGGCAGCTAGTAGGTGATAAAATTTGATTATTATTCGTGGGGGCTAAATTTGCACRGAAGAGAAGATCAGAAAACACTGGCTACACACTGGCTACCTAGTCACGGACAAGAGCTATATCATACACAGGATGTACATATTTTATAAGCAAAAAGTTCCCCTACCCAAGACATTCATGCCATCTTTAAATTCAAGTCCTTTTTTAATGACCATCTGGGCTTCTGGTGCTTCCCGCATTGTCTCATTTATCAGAGCAAAAGCAGAGTCCGTGACATTAGATGGTTCTTCAATTGGTGGTGGCACCAGCACTTTCTTGGTGACAGTCTGGATCTGAAGGCAACAGAAAGGAAGGACAGGAATAGCATGAGACTGAAYGTTATCTATACGGGAGATCAGGAAATAATAAAAAGTCTTCACTTGAATTTCCAGGGAAAGATCCTTTTAAAAGATTAGACATGCATTTCACAACCCTTCTTATCACCACTTCCAAAAATAAATTTGTTTTTCAATAGTTCCAAGTGTCACAAAGTCCTGGGAGTCTTTTGGACAACACTGCTGTGAAGGGTGTGGCATATGCTTGTTCTCTACCAAAATCATATACTTAACGTTTTACAGATAGTTAGTCCTTTTGTCCAGGTGTTTCACAAATGGTTCTTCATCGATTGTATTTTATACACAGATGTAATTTATTTATCACCAAAAGGCAAGCATTTGTAAGAACAGTTACAGCAGCAACTCTATCAATCACAAGCTCAATCACACTATTCAGGCTGGTCTATCTGGCTCAAGCAATCACAGTTTGACAGTTAACTTCAATCAGAAACTTAGGACATTTCCAACATTTCAGTTAGTGATTGTTTGTGAGAGCTCAAAAAGGAACACACACAGGCCTCTGAGTTCTCTAATTAAAATATTTTGAATGACGGATAATAGAGGAACTAGCTAAGCTGACAGATATTTACTAATCAAATTTTGCTACCTCAGGAAAGGGGAGATCAATGTCTGAATAGATCTGGACCRCTCTTGACACAAGCAAGTCAGAGAAAGCTGGGAGGGAATGGTAATGGGCTTGATTTTACTGCCATGGTGAGGGGGAAAAAAGTAAAAACAAACAAAAAAACTGCAGTCTGAGTCTACAGAACAAAAGCTATGCAGACCAAAAAAAAAAAAAAAAAAAGCGAGATACTCTATGAGAAACTCCTCAGTAGTCTTGAAACCAGCCAATATTCCTCTACATTGACATTTTCCTGAGCTAAATTTTACCAGAGAACTGTTGCTATTTTTTGTGAGTCACAGAAATAAAAGGTAAAGCATGTGATTCTGAGCACCTGCAAATTCTACCAGCTAAGGTGGAGGTCCCTGACACTTCTTTGCATAAGTCAGTGCAAATGTTGAGCCTAACAAAGTTCAAACTGATAACTCCATCTGAGGTCAGTAAAGCCTTTGGGTCACATTCATTATCCTATATCACACCTTTAATTCTCTTTCATGGCTCATAAGACCACAATCCTCTGTTGGAACAGCATTTTTCATTATAAATTAAGCATTTTCCTTTTTTTTTTTTTTTTTTTTTTTTTTGTGCACCATAGCAAACTTCAAGAGATAGAGAAATCCCATGAAGTTGTGAGTTCCGCTTCCAAGCGAGCTGTACCTAACTCGCAGCTGAGGCCCCTCCTAGCCCAGCCTGGCAGCAAGGGAAGCTATGCGAACCGCCCACGTGGGAGGCTCCTGCTCAGAACCACTGCTGGGCACACTCCAAAATCATTCTTGGCAGGAACTGTGCAAAAATTGCCTCCTCCTGAGGCAACCTGGAAACACCGAATCTTCATAGGAGACTCTGTATGAATGTAGGAAGGGAAACTACAGCATGAAAAGACGGTAAATTTCCTTGTAAATAAAGAGAGAGATAAGCAAAGCTTAACTCCCTTAACGAGGGGTAAGTGCTACTAGGTGGCACAAGGTCTTTYGGGAAAGGGGTATGACTTAAACATGCAAAGGAAAGGTGTTCTTGTGGTAGAGGCTTCAAAATCTCCCAAGAAAACTGTTAGACTTGGTAGCTTAGTTCTTCCTTCCTCCAACTTTTTATCTCTGTCTATAGATTCAACCACTTTCCACAGAACAAAAATGCAATTCTTCTTGTTTCCATAATTTAAATTAGGAAAAGGAAACAAAAACATAAGTGCCCTGCTCCCCCCACGCACACTCAGTTTTGTGAGAACACATTTTACGTTACATATGGTGCTCAGCAAACCACAGTGTGACCACATGACTGCCATTCCCATGATGATTTGGAAATATTGAGAATGTTCTCKCTTCAAACCCCCAAGGACCATGTGTTTTTATGTGAAAGTCTGTGTAAGGAGTGAAGAAATCCAAGTCCTCATTCTGGCAGCTTAGGGTCCCCTCCATTTCTCCTCCCTTCACTGCACCCACCACTTCTCTTCTTCCTATTCTCTGGCCTAAACCACAGCTCCAGCTATCATGCCATTTCATTTAGGAACGCTTAAAAATGAGTTTGGCAACAGATCTTGTTTGGTTTGACCCCCCCAAAAAAAAGTTCTGCATCACTGCCAAACAATTTAGTTGTTGGATGGAAAAAGTAGCTCACATACAAGAAGTAGGCTAAAATAGAGATCAGGGAACATGTATTTTTGTTGGTTTTACCCCTCAGAGAAGAGCCATGTTGATTAGGTGTTCGTGAAGTGTTTATCCAGAACTGTTTACCTACGCAGCCAGCAGCGCAGTGTCACCTGCTGCCCAGCAAGCCTCAAACCTGGCCTGCTGGGGCCACCTGTAGGTGGGTCATCCACTTGACTGCACTGTCTCCACACACCCGGGTTGCAGCAAACAAGGTTGCTGAGGTTGGGTTTTGCGGTGCCCTTGCAAAACATGAATTGAATCCACTCACACATTACACCCAGGGCACTACAGAGCCATCCAGTCAGTAACTAGTGACCACAACTAAATTCAACCAAGTGAAGGATGCCATAACCCACCCACCATTCAGGCCCAAGCCAGCACTTATGACTCTACACACTGTATACAAAGTGAGGAAATATTTTCAGAGTATTTAAGAACAGACTACAAGTAATCTTCCTTAAAGAGACTAGGAGATAAAATAGAAACTACAATATAAAACAAAGTAGCTGTAAACAAAGTTCTTTTATTTACCCGCTTAAAATCTAAGAGCTAGACTTCTCTTTTCATCGTAACTTTTGTCATTCACTTATGTAATTACATTAACTCTACAGACACACTAGTAAATAAAAGATGTTTGAAAAAAATATTGCCTCAATAGAAGGATTTACCTGCTGAAAACACGCTTGGACTAAATTTTCAGGAAACAAGTTTCGGATGAGATCCAAGAAAGCATCCAGACTAGACACTTCATCATTCTTCTTCCCTTGACCTAGCTGTTTCTTGAGCTTTGGATTCCCTGGGTGGATGGCTAAAACCAGAAGCACACCAAGCACAGCAGCAATGATAGTGGTGGACATGTAGTAGACCATGGCTCTTGTACCCAATCGGCCACTTGCTTTAGCRTCTAAACCAGACAGTCCTGCAGGTGTTTCATTTCAAGGAAAAAAGAAAATTCATAATCAATATTCAATTCAATAATCACTACAGAAAATCCTGTAAATATGCCAAGCTTATCAACTGCCTGCAGGGTTTTTTTTTGTCCTGCTGAAATTTCTACCACTAGATAAGAGTATTGAAACCTCTCCCCCTCTCCAGATCTTATGTGAACACTGCCTGCTGCTGCTAATCCGAAGACAAGCACGAACTGCAAAGGAGACACTGAAAACAGCAAATACACCATCTGTTGTCCGTCACTGCTGAAAAATGAGCATGTTCAGGCTGAAACTACTGCTTTAAGGAGAATAGGTTTTCTCATACCATGCCATCACATCTACACAGTCCAATCCCGGAATTAGGTGAAAGAGCATATTAACAGAATTTTGAGGTTCAAGAAGGTAGTATGAGTGCATGTGTTTGAAAAGAAATATACTGGAACATCTACCTCCTAAAGCCAATAAAGTTAATCAAAAATCATCCCTGAAATATACACTGCAGCTGCAAAATCCTTGGCAGGATCACACTATTCTTCTTCCTACGTCACAAAAAGCAAACCAGGTGATATCTGTAGCAAGCACCTTAAAGTACTTATGGCTAAGAGATCTTACCTGTGATTAAACTGGAGATAATTAAAGGGAGGATCAACATTTTTAGCATCCTCATAAGTATATCCCCTGGGAAGGCTATTAACATGATTATGTCAGGGTCAATAGGCGTTGCTAGACGAAGAAGACCCCCACATACTGCACCCAAGATGACACCTAGAAGGGGAATAAAAGATAACAAGTAGGCAAGGCAAGCCAAAAACATGGGAATGGGCATTGATTACCCAGCAGAACAGTCTCAAAGAAAAAGTTACAGAAGGTGGATGATTTTTCTTACAGAGACAAACTTCATTCTCCTCCTTTGGAAGGCACAGCCTTCTGATTCATACTGGGCAGTATCGCACTCACTAGGTATCTCTCAGCTACAAAGAAGTGATCCTGATACCTAGTTATCTGTCAGCTGGGACAGATATACACTGTTTATATCTTATATCTCATACACTGTTTTGCTTCTGCAGAATTTTTGCTAATAATATTAGTGAGATTTTCCAGTGCTGTGTAGGTCTTGCAACATGCTAAGCTGTAATCAAATACAATTCATATCGCCACCCTAGAGATGGCAAAAATGAGGTTTCAAGAGGTGATGTGCTTTATACAAAGCCTTTCAGAACTAGTGCCAGAGCCAGCGATAAGACCCAGCCCTTGGACTTGACGCTGGGCTCTTAACAGAAGACTGGTTAGCACTTGAAAACAACAATGTCTTAAGCACCTGTTTTACAGTCTTGGAGAAGCCCTACAGAACAGCTAGAACAGTCTGGTGAGGCAAATAGATTAGACTGTGATTGGGGTTTTCTGGAAGGGAGTGTCAGGCATTTGTTACCAACATGGTCATTTCTGAAACTATCACTATCAGCATACAACTGAACACAGTGTTTACTGCTTTAAAATACTCTCTTTGAAAGCATATATAATGTCTTCTTGATCCCAAGCACATTATAAAATCTCAAGTGAGGTAAAACTTGACAATAAAGGCTGAGTCATGATTTGAAGTAACTATGGAATTAATTTACTCTTTTTTTTTTTTTTTCAAGTACCAGTTTGATACAATGCAAAATATATTTGTCTTTGAAATTTCTTGTGGAACTGCGCCAGACATCCTCTAAAGGTGATTCATAGCAAACGCTCWAACTAAACACTTCAGCAGCTTGGATTTTGAAGGCTGAAAAATGCGGAGATGAAATTTGCAGCTCAAGAGCAGCTGCTGTTGGTTTTTCAAACAATAACAAAATAGAGTATGTCTATGAATTTGCTGAATTCGGCTGTTGGGCTTTCAGTGAAAAAGAACCAGGCAAAGAGCCAGTGAACCATAACAAAATGTCAAACCATCCCATATTTGGAAGTCGCTTAAGCCAGAGGCAATATTCAGGATGAGATCACTGAGCTCTGGCTTGTAGCTGTCGCCTTACTTGCAGAGAGGGGAACAAACCTTAAAAAGTTGTCAAGGCAAAAAGCATGGGCTGAGAAATAGCATTGAAGGAAAGGAAGTTTTGGAGAGTCTAGGGATTTTGTTTTGCCTTTTTTTTTTCCTACATTGTTGAGAGAAAAACGTGTGTTGCAGTTAGTTCTCCCAAATGACATTGATCTGACTAGCCTGGGGACTTGGATTGTTTTTCAGTTCAAAACAGATAATATTATGTAGTTAGCTCAGTGGTGTGGACATGCCCCACGTTGCATCAACAACATCCTGCACACCTGAACAAAAAGGGCCTAAGCCTGAGGGCGTCCTATTTACTCCCTGGCTCTTCAGCTACGACAGCTGAGAACTGCAGAAAGACAAGGTCTGTGGGGCTCTCAGAACAAGCAGCAACAGACACATGTGCAGACAAGCAGGGCGCAGCTTACCGAAGACAGTAAGAGTCAGGAGCAGATTTCTGCGGAGCGACTGGCAGAACTGCACACATATGTTCCTGGACGTGGGCTCCGCTGCGCTCAAGTGGCTCTCATGCATCCGCACCTCTACTTGCTTAGGCATATTGTTGGCACTGGAATAAAAAATGAAAACCAAGCAAAAGTTACAGCACAAGATGTCAAAAATGAGAGGAAAGTCTGGATTACTTCCATCACACATAAGTGGAGAATCTGATGCATATTCCAGGGCTTCCCACATCTCRCAAACACTGTATCTTGGCTGCCCTTAAATGACAACATTTTGTTCTGCGAAAGGTCTTATCTCTCAAACAATGGAGAAGTAACCAGAGGGAATTCACTGGCTACATCTTTGCAACTGTTTTATGGATTAAATTATTTGTCCTGATCTGGAAAACTCAATGGTTCTCTCCTGAAATGGTAGAGCCTGTTTTTCAACTGACTCATCAGGAAAACACAGATTTTAATACCCAATTTAATTCCAATTTGGGAAAGAGTTTATAAAATAGAATTTATTTGCAAAATAAAGCATTCTAGAATATTTGGCTTAATCTTCCCAAAATGTTTCCTTTCGACATTAACATTTTATTTTAATATAACCAAAATGCTGCAGTCTAAAAAATCTTTTTCAGATTGGTTTTAAGGAGATTTGATTCTACTGCCTATGAAAAACAGTCTGAAAACTATTTATTCTCCATAAAATCTTCTGGGTTCACTGAATTGGAAAAGTTCAGTTGGAAGAAATTTTTACTAGCTCTGTTTTATACCCCAATAAGTGATATGTATAGGAGTGCAGGGCAGTGAAGGCCATGCCTCCTAACCTTCTCAAGGCATGAGAAATTTGACAACAGGCTACTTTCTTACACATAAAACCTTCAAATGAAATTGCAAAACTACTACTACAAATAAAACACAGTTTTTCCCTAAAAGTTAGGGGTGTCTGCTTAAGAGAACTGGCCAAAGAATAAAATGTTATTATCAAGAAAATAAACATCTATGTCAGCTAGAGTAAGAGTGTGGAAAAAGGAGATCAAATTTACCTCTATAATAATAGATTGAGGTTTAGAGACCTAAAAAAGGCTTAAAATAAAGATAAAATTTGATGCTCATTAATCCGCCCTCTGAGAACTTTCTCAGATGAGGCGACGCTGTCCCACAGTGAGTCTGCCTGGGACACTGACTGCCACAAAACCAGCAACAAGCCACAGCATTTCTAGGAAGACAAARCATTTCTTAATTACATATATACGTTCATCTTTATAACATTTCTCAAAGAGAGTTGCAATTAAATCTCTAAAAAGAATTCAGTCACTGACGGAAATAGTTTCCTGATTAACTCATGATGTTCCCATTCAAAAAGAAAAGGAATTCCTTTCCAACATCTCCTGTTATGGAAAACGTAGTATCAGCAGTAATACATCATGGAATGCATAAAAAGAAAAAAAWCACTAAAGTGTTGCAATTTTGATTTTATACTTGTGTAAGTATGGTAGCTACAATAAATTGTACTGCTGATGGTGGAATAAAAAGCAGCACTGACACATTCCTACTATTTAAATAACAGGCATACCTATTTCTTGAGTAGTTATGCATATGAAAGATAAATAAGGATTAGCCGGGGAAAAATGTTAGTAGCAGTTATTTGAGAAGCTATAAGAATGATGAGACTGACTGGAATATTCACACAGATGAGCCACAGAGCCATTAAACCACAGATAGAAGCATGCTGTAAAATGAAGGAATCGGAGAAGGAAATTTTGCAGCTGAGGACTCTAACATTCACCACAYATATTTTATATATCCTTTTGAAACTGTGAAATACAGGCTACTGAAAATAATTCAGAAGGAAAACTTAAAGGCTCTTTTCCTATAAAATAATTAGGCAGAACTGGAATGGATCATTAGACAGAGGCTCTTGGTGTTTATGTCTTTTCTAAGAATTTTCTTTGGGCTAGGTTTAGTCTGCTTTCCTAGACTGAATGATGTCCCTTTCCCATCTGATCTCACACATACAGCTGCAAACTGCCCAAAGTCACGTACAGTGACTGTAAGTATCTGCTTTCTCAGCTGCGGGCTCCTCTAAGAAGTGCCACACGTCCTTCCCTCTAGTTTGCAGGCGCAGGAGCACATCACTCCCCTGCTATCATGGCTCAAATACACCCTTCCCATGCAGAAGTAACCTCTGGCCCTGCTCACATTCAAGATTTAGCTGCTCTATTCCTCCCCCTGCTCTCTAAGTGGCAGCAGGTGCTCGCTGCCCAGACGCCCTTTGCATGACCAGTCTGGTCACCATCCAAATGCCCACCACGGGAGGGGACGGGTGGCCCACTCTACTGCTGCGGTGACCATGTCCCAGCAGGGTCATACCCCAGGTGACTGAAGCCAGCTCTGCTTCAGCAGACCAACACAGAGCCTTTAAAAACTAACAACCACTTTCTTCAAAAGTTCAGTCATGTCAGCCATAGATGTCCAAACCCTCACGGAGAAGAAACTGAGGACACAGAATTCTTTAAGGGCATTCTTAAATTTCAAGAAATCTAATACCATATCGTGTGCTTTGCTCATGTGCAAAAAAAACCCCATGATCTATACTCTCCAGCTTTTCAGGACTACCAACTTCCAGTGTAGACTGAAATTGTGAATGACATTTTTTTAAAAAAGAAAAAGACTATTGCCAAAACATGTTAATTGCCCAGATCTTTTACAAACAGTGCTGACACATGCATATCATCACATGAAAAATGAGACCACAAGTGATAATTATCTAAGTATTTGTCCTGTTAACACTGGTATTAGCAACAAGATTTTTAGCACCCGCCAGAGACCAAGTGTTGTTCTGGATGTTGCGAGGTATTCCGAGGTGGGGGGATAAAAACCCAGGCAAAACCAAAATAAAAGCCTTGAGCAAGCAATAAAATAATCTTGTATAAGATACTTTTCAATGTTTTCTTTCACATACGTGCTCTACCACCCAGCTGAGAGCCACAGACAGCACTGCTCCCCCAAACACCCCACGTCCTCCACAGTGCCATGGCAAGGACACAGTGCCATGGCAAGGACACAGTGCCATGGCAAAGCAGGGCACTACATCCATGCTGCCCATGGGAAGGGGCTTCAACTCCTCAGATCTTCTTGCCAAAGGAACGAGTTAAGGCATGACAGCGTGGAGCCTGATTGCAGCCAAGCTCACGGGCAGTGCTCAGACTCTAGTGCAAAGTCAAGAGAGGCACCAACAGCACCAGCCCCTGCCATGGGGCTGAACAACAGCAATGCAGTCCCTGCAGAAATGTCACTAACAGCACCTCTATCTGTAGGTTAGGATTACAGAACAGTGCAGAACCCATCTGAGCAGCTGTGACCTTTCCAGAATGCAAACGATTACCTGGGTTAAATCAATTACTGTTCCACTGTGGTGACCTTCCATGGTTACTCTGTTTTCAGGAAACAAGTGAAGCAGTTTAAATGCTTGTCTGAAACCCATCCGACCAAAACCCCTTTTAGTCCAACTCCACTGAACACAGAACACTGTAATATAAATTAATTCTGTTCATTATTTTTATATATCATAGTGACAAGCAGCCAAACAGGCAAGCTCTGAGACAGGCCCATGACAGAACTGTAAGGACCGAGGTCTTCGCAGGACAAAAAAAAATATTCTCTGCCAACTACGGGAACTAAAAAACATTGACAGGACTTGCAAGAAAAATCTCTCTAGAAATACATGTTCAATTTTATGTTATCTAAATTTCAGAGCTCATTTTGACTGTGAGGTATACACTGGTAYGTGAGATAGAACACTATCTGCAAAATTTAAGCTCCAGCTTATTTCTCCAATTGCTTCTAGACATAGGGCCAAAATGCAAGAGAACACTTTGCTAAAATACCAGTCTCTCTGGATTTTTTTGTTCTTATCTCCTCTGAGTTTTTTTTTTTTTTTTCTTGAGTTTTATTTCACCTACCTTTGGTAAAGTCTGCTGTTCTATTTCACTTCTGCTGCCTCTTCCTTTCTTGTGTTTGAAGGTTATGGGACTAAAAGGATGGAAAACTGCTTTTTCTTGGTTATCAAACCTAACTCACTTTTTTTWATGCAAGTTAAGAGTTAATAACTTCAATTTACATATTGCTTGAGTGACAATTCCCTTTTATTTTCAGCCAGTCATGGAGAAAGAATTCTGCATTACAGAACACTTCCCAGCTTGGCACAAATCTAGAAGAGAAACTGGAAGGAAAGAATAACCTAGGCTTTAAATGAAACATGTAAGCAAAGGCATGTAATGAGGCTAGTGGAAACAGATGCATGAAAAATGAACAGAGACCGTGTTTAATCTGAATAACACATCTCAGCTGTGCCAGTTAATCAAGCAGGTAATTCACAGAATAAAACCCAGCTTTGGTAGCTCTGCTTA